AAGACGTAGTACAGGTGAATTGGGTAGACTTAATTGTCCGTAGTGTGTGGATGTTTCCCAGAGATGGGTTGCGGCTGGAAGGGCATCCGCTGCGCAAAAACTTGCTGGATAAGTTGGCGGTTCATTCCGCTGTGGTGACCCCGGATTAATAAAGGGACTAAGCTGACAAGAAAATGAATGAATGAATGAATTACTCATGTCATTCCAGTCCTGTGACACCTTTGTGCATCTTCAGAACATAAATTTACACAAAATATTTTAGATAAAATCCTAGAGCTCTCTGACAACTCCATAGACAGGAGACAGGACTAAACACTGATGATTATTTATAATGGTCCAGTTTTCCACAAAAAAAAAAATAATAATAATAATGTTATTATTTCTTAGTGACAATTTAATGCGTCAAAACAAGAAAACTGTAGTCGTATACACTTTTTTCAACATAATATTTCCTTTTTTTTTAAATGGCAAGATTAACATTGTTAAAAATGTATTTATTGTGGAGGCATTTACATAAATAGTCAAAAACATTTATTTGTTTGCTTTTGGTGCAAAGTAATGTGTATAACTTCTATTCAACCTAATGCCTTTCTGTTATAAAACCTTAAGTTTCATTCATATTTATAAATATCTTGTCTAATCCCCCTTATTTGAATAGAAAATCATGTAAAGGGATATATTGCTCTGTTATTATCATGAGGAACTGTGTAATTGTTTTTAGTTTTCTTTCCCTGATTTACAAATTAGGTAATGTGTAATTAAATGTAAAACACAGGGAACGTGTTGAACACATGAATAAAGGGAGGTGTAGAAAAGCAGTGAAAGCCCAGGCAGCAGCTGAACTCTCTCAGTAGTTATTCGGCAACCCTCTGCCCTTCCTCATTGTAAATGAATATTAGCTGCTTCTGTCTAACGTCTACATTGCCAAGGTGATGAAGATGAAACTAGGGTGGATATTTCAGCAAGACAATTGCCCAAAACACAGCCAAGAAAACTCTCAAATGCTTTCAGAGAAAGAAAATCAAGCTGTAGAATGGCCCAGCCAATCACCTGACTTGAATCCAATAGAAAATACATAAAGATCAGAGGCAATTCCTTGTCACCAGCTCCTGTATTAGTATAAATATAGGAATATTATTCCCAGAAAAAAACCATGACGTGTTCAATACTTTTTCCTCACTGTCTTGGATGCAACACTAATTATTATTGAGTAAACTCTTCTTCATTAATGTCTATATTGGTTACAGGCCTGAAGAAATTACCATTTTTGTTTTTTCTCTTTCAGTAACAGAATTACAAGGGATGGAGCCAAACATTTATCAGAGGTTTTGAAACAAAATTGCTCATTAGAGATTCTAGATCTTTCTTTCAATTGCATTGAGGATGTCGGTGCAATACATCTAAGTGAAGCTATCAAGCTGCCACATAGCAAACTCAAAGCGTTAGTGTCCTCTGCTAATCAAAGTCTAAAATCTTTTTTCTTCGTGCTGTCCAGCTTATATAATTGTTTTTACTCCTAGATTATCTGTTACAAGCAACAAAATCAGAAAAGGAGGTCTTTTGTCCCTCAGCGCAGCAATGAGAGTGAACTCCAGCCTCACACACATTTACATCTGGGGGAACAAGCATGAGGAGCCAGTTTGTGAGGTGAGATTCCGCAGATTCCGCATTTTAAATCACAAAAGGACACGTTTTGATGCTTTCTCTGCATTTGTATTCAGGCTTTCTCTGGGCTGATGAGCAGCGGGCGACTGTTGAAGGAGCACACAGATGTTTCACCATATGAAGTGGACGGTCATGTTTTTTTGGCAGAGGCGTCTCATGGTTTACGCAGACATTACTATTGGACATCCCGCTACGGACAAGATAGAGATTCAAGTAATTCAGCATTGGCTCTGATGGCATCAGATTCATGGTCTCAAAAATCACATTCATGATATGATTCATAATATTTAGTTCTGTCTAAAAGTGTTAGTTGATTGTGTCAGTAGCCTATAGGAAATGAATCCACAGTGCTGTTGGTTTCATTTCATTAATCGCATGGCTTGTGTTTTTGATAAGAGCTTACATCTGTGTGTCCATGTGTCCAGTGTTTGGAAATGTCACACACCGTCATGTTGCTTGTGAAAAAACACGTCATTTATGTAAATGTTGGTGCTGACACTTAGTCTTTGCTGCATTGGGTGTGATTTTTCCACATTTTATCAGGAAAGATTAACAAAGATTTTGTTGATTTAGGAGGTTCAGTCTAAAACATTCTTTATGTAAATGAGAAAGGATGCAGATAACGATGATTATTAAATCAGAACTAATTAAATTTACTCTCCAACCATTAGTTTTACAAATACTCACAAAGATAGAGAGAAGACCACTGAAAATAGCTGCTTTCTTTACATTTGTTAGGCATGGGTTTGAGTAAAACTGTTTTTAATTAATTCCATGAAGTTCATATACCTTTTCTTTCAAATGTGAAATGAAAATCTCATCATTTAGTGAATTTATTAGTATTTTTTATTTCAGAAAATGACAATTGGTCAGAAAAACCACATACTTTCAAGATTGAAAACTATGATTACTCCACATTTTGATTTCTTAATTGTTTTGATGTTAAAACATTTTACAGACTAATTTCTCTTTCGTTCTGTGATGCATATTAAACAAAAGTTTACGATGTTTAAAATAATGCTGAAAGAGCTCTTCTTGAAAAGGATACCATTCACATTGTATTCACATTGAATCTCTTCTTCGCAACGTGTGCAAGCAAAAGACTGCAGTTTACTTAACAGCCATCGGTGTCTTTAATAACAAGAGCTTTTGAATTCTCATTTATAAAAAGTTTGTTTTATACTATATTGAATTAAAGGTGCAGTAGGAGATCAGGGGGGAATGCTGGGGAAACACACAAATGATGGATCTATCTGTGTGAACAGGGTGAGCACATATACAAACTCAAATTTGTTGACAGACAGTTTGAGTTACTGTTTGAGTTACCTATAGTAATTTTCAGATTTTTTAGTCCTATGCCTTGAGCCGCAGTCACACTAGAGTTTGAGCATGCAGAATTTTGTAGTACGTCGCTGCAAAAAGGAGCAGGATTAGAATAGATGATTAGACATTAAAAAAGCGAGCTATTGGTCCATATTTTAAATTTCTCCTCGTAGAGGTTGTTTTGAACTTCAATTGGTCTCACGGAATCACGATGCGATTTCGCAGGTCAGATTTCACCAAGCTTGAACTTTCCAATGTAGCGAACTGCAAAACTTGCCGCATGAGCTTGCGTTTCTGGTCTGTCGCATTTGCATGTGCATAAATGGAAGTCTATGGGGCAAGATATAAAAATACATATAAAATAAAAACATAAAATATCAAAATGCAGCCGACATCAGAACAGAAGAAACCATCGCTACTTCACCAATGTTACTTAAGAGCTAGTGTTTGAATGATTCTTTAGCTTAATTATAAGATTATAAGGCTGAACGGACGATTATAGGACTGAACATCTACAGAGATTTCCCAGGATTTCTCTGTTGCAATTGGGAGATCACAATAATTAACCCTGAAAAAGCCAAAGCATCGCAATCACTACCAGATTGCTGTTGTGTTTGTGAGAGAAAAAAAACACTAAACACATGCGGGCATTTCTTCTTTCTTTCTGTTTACTGAAACTAGTCTGCAGTACTGAAATTAGGAGACTCATTAGAAACAGATGGTCATCTCCAGTTTTAAGACTTTAACAGAATTTACAAGTTTTATAATGATTTGATCAGCTGTAGATTTACAATAAGCTGGGTTTTTCCTCTTCTTTAATGCCGAGTTCAGACTGCATGATTTTAGCCCCGATTTTGACTCGCTGACAGGTTTTGAAAAATCACAGGCAAATAGGTGCTTATGCACGTGAGTGACAATCACACATTGTGAAATATCAAAGACGCGATCTGAAAGAATCGCAGATGAGTCGCCGATGCCCGTGAGATATTAGGTATGCTAAATATCTGGAGCTGTCGGCGATTCAAACCGTGCCGTGTGAAATGAGTTTTGACTGAAAATAACATTGCCTACAGCCAATGAGAGAGCAGCATTTACTTACACAGTGTGTTTGTGTGTGCGTGTGTTTGTGTGTATGTGTGTACCTGCAGGCCAGCGGGAGGCTGGGGGCGAAGTTAAAAGCGCTCATTTTTGGTTTATTTGAACCCAAGAAATGGAGTAAAAACTAGTGGAGGTTTGACAGGAGCACCCGTGTCTGTTTGACATTTCATACAGAAAGTTAAAAATGAAAGTTGAGGAGAAATTTCTAATTCCCTTCAAAATTTCGTGTTTTTGGCTGTGAGACATAGTTTGGATGAAGTTGTCGGCGTTTCTTCCTATTGTAAAGTCTTGCTATGTGAAAGCCCCTGTCGCCGATCCATCTTGCAGTGTAAACAAAGCAGCGAAGAAATGCTAGCCCAGATAGTCATGCAGTGTGAAAACATCTGTGACACGACTACTTTGAAAATCATGCAGTCTGAACTTGACATAAGGGTCACTATGCTGTATCTGCCACCATCCTGTGGATGAACAACATCAACTGTCTTTCCTCTGCTCAATGACAGGCTAATGGACGCCGACGCAGTGTCTCTCAGAAACTATAAATATTTCAAAATAGGCACTATCCTTATAAATAAACTGCATAGTTGCAATCTAAACAACTACATTCTTGACTGAAAAGGCTTAAAAGTACATCAACAGCAGCAATAGTTGTCAAACTAGAGTGTTCTTTGCTTGTTGCTGTTTGTCGGTAGAGTAATACACAAGGGTGAAGGATGAAGAGGCTAGACGAGTGCTGTTATTTGCAGAATATTGCACGGTTACAAACAATTAGATCATTTACTTTAATCGTTACTATTGGAATGTGAAAAGAACTTCAACCAGCACAACAACAACAACAAAAATTATCTGAATACAATCACCTACTGCATCTTTACATTGCATTTTAATGTTGTATATTGATGCTAGAATATTAATGTTAATTTGTGATATAAAAATCAGAATGCCTTTTAATCAATACCTCATTCTCAGTAACATCTTGATTTGCAACTTCAGTAACTTGGAAAACTATAATTGCCTAATGCTTCTCATTAACCTGCTGCCTTTGGGGTTGGTGTGTTCAGTCTGTCACATTCCAGGATGGCGCTTTTCTTGCTGAGAATTTTTTCCAGCTTGTCTCTCTCAGCTGAGCTCAGAGTCCAGTGCTGCAGAGACAGACGGCTGAGGGACGTGAGCTGTGGAAGAGCCTCCAACAAGGCGGGCAGCCAGGGGGAGACGGAGAGGGATGCGGAAGGACGCAGGCTGACATCCAGCTCCTCCAGGCCTTTCAGACTAGCAGCTTTACCAAAAAGAGACGTCCAACCACCATCTCCCACACTGCCATTGTAGGACAAATCCAGCAGCTTCAGCTGGGAAAGAGCTCCACGCTGGCAGGCAGATTCTGCAAGATTACAACAGTTAGATGGATGTTCTTACTGCAAGACTTTAAGCGTCACACACCTGCCAACTTTGAGAATGGCTACAGAAGAAATACTGGCTATCATCCAAAGCTCTAAAATCACGTCCTGTCCTGGAAGTTATAGATGTATAGATGCAGCATAGATGTATCCTTCACTAGCTTGATGTCTCACAATTCTTCCATTTTGACAGCTGAGCTAACAAAATAGGCATAGCTTCTCAAAGTGCCCCTCAGGCTTAATTTTGTATGTAAATGTTAGTTTTTTTTGACCAACGTTTTCCACATTTGTTGGCATTTCTAGCTAGAAATTTGTATTTTAGTAAACAAATATACCGTTAGTTATTACCAAGTTCTCCATTTTGTTGTTTACACTTATGTACTGTTGGGGATGTTTTCATCAACTCCAGGGTGATTTTGAGTCCTAATTTGGCCACAACTTTTGTTTCTTTTGTTTCAACTAGCGAAACGATTTTTGGTCATTATTTTGACATATTTTGGGAAAATGTTTTGAAAAATAACTTTTTAACTACCCCACCAGGAAAAAAAAACATTTTGTATTGCATTTCTTAACTCCTAATGTTGCTAGTTACCACACTTAACGCATTTTTTTCACCACATCTCATAATTTCTAAAATATAAACCTCTACAAAATAGTTAATATGTCATAAAAGTACTGGAAATAATACAGTTGAAGCCAGAAGTTTAAATGCACTAAAGAAAGGAACATAACCATTTTTGTTAAATGTCTGTTGGTAAATCATACTAAACGTTTACTATTTTAGGTCCGTTAGGATTACCTTAATCATTTACATTTGTTAAATGCCAGAATAATGAGAGATTTAAAAAAAATTATAAGACTGTAAAAAGCTTACAAACGTTTCCTTGGTATTTTTTTTTTTAGCTTTGCTTTAAACTGTATAACATTGGTGAAATGTTTTGGGTATCCTTCCACAAACTTCTCACAATAATTTGCAGGAATTTTGGCCCATTCCTCCAGACAGAATTGGTGTAACTGAGTCAGATTTGTTGGCTGTCTTGCTCGCACAAGCTTTTTCAACTCTGCCCATAAATTTTCTATAGGATTGAGTACAGGGCTTTGTGATGGCCACTCCAAAACATTCACTCTGTTGGCACATTTTAATTAATATGGCAGTATTCTTAGGGTCATGGTCTGTTTGGAAGACCTATTTGTGACCAAGTTTAATTTTCTGGCTGATGTCTTGAGATGTTATTCAGTATTTCTACATAATGTACTTTCTTCATGATGCCATCTATGCTGTGAAGTGGACCAGTCCTGCCTGCAGCAAAACAGCCCAACAACATGATGCTGCCGCCCCCATACTTCACAGTTGGGATGATGTTCCTAGGCTTGTAAGCTTACCCCTTTGTCCTTCAAGTGTAGCACTGTTTTTTTTTTTGGCCAAACAGTTCAATCTTAGTTCCATCAGACCACAGGACATGTCTCCAAAAATGATTCTTTTTCCCAGTGTAATTTAGCTAATTGTAATCTGGCTTTTTTGTTGATTCTGGCTTGTTGATTTTCCCATGTTGTCACACAAGGAAGCTGTGTGTTTGAGGTTTTCCTTAAATACTATTGGACAGTTGTCCCTCCAAATAACTCAAATGTTGTTAATTAGCCAATCAGAAACTTCCAAAACGTTGACACCATCATCTGAGCTTTTTCAGAGGCATAATAAACCTATTGTATGTAAACTTGACTTTCAAGAAAAGTTATAACAATTTCTCAAAAAATATCTATCTCAATATTCTGCTATTAAGCATAACAGAAACTAATTTGATAATCCTAACTTACCTAAAAGAGAAAGGGTTTAGTCACATTAACATCTGACTTTTCTTTAAATGGTTATATGCCTTTTTTACAGTGTACGTAAACCTCTGGTTTCAACTGCATACTATGAAAAATATGAAAATATGAAGTGTAAGACCAATTTATTTAAAATAATTTTCAAAATGCTGTAAGGCAACAGTGCTAACTACTGAGCCACCATGCCACCCTTTATCGCAGTGTTGGGCATGTGAAAGATTAGTAACAGCATTGTCTTTTTTGCATTGTTAGTTTTTTTCATCCTGAACATAATGAAAGGGTAGTAAATTTGAATAGAGCACAAGGGTTAAAGCATTATGTTGTTTCAGAAGTATGTCAGAGTCATTGACTGACAAGGCAGCAGGGCAACAAGTCAGCTGCCTAAGCTTTCGGACGCTGCCAATATAAGACTTTTCACACATGAAATAGTTCACCTTTGGTTATGCAGAACTCTTGCTTCATGTTTCACACTCTGTTTACTGGTTACCCATGGTTAACAATTAATCATGGGTATTTACATTCTGTTGGGTGCACTAACTTTGTGACTTCTTGTAAATGTAACAATCTAATCAGCCAATCACATAACAGCAAACCCAATGTATTTAGATGACCTTCAATGTGAGATGATATTCTGAACCCAAATCAAGCATCAAAATTGAGAAGAATGCTTATTTAAAGGTCCCATGAAATGAAAATAAAGTTTTTTAGATGTTAGTATCAGTATTGTTCATTTGATAAGATATCTATAAGCTAGTGTGCTCCAAAACTGTGACAAAATTTGTGTTTAGAAGATAAAAAACTCATATAAACATGTAAGGCTTGTAGTTTAGTCACTTCTTCCTAAATGGAGCAATGTTTGTTTTCACGTCACCTCAAACCTTAGTTTCTCGTCAAATCTGGACCAATCAATTGCTTTCTTGTATCTGCCATGCCCCGTCCCCTTCAAGACACTTCTCATTTGCTTTTCATTTGACGCGCTTGAGCTCAACTACTCTCATTGGCAGAGCAGTGATAAAAACAAAAAGCTATTGGCTGTTGTTGTTTTTAAAGCTACACTATATCCCACCCTTGTGATTAGGTTGAGATTACATCAAACACTGAATAAAAATGCATATTTGAAAACACTTCACGGGACCTTTAAGTTACTCTAAACATGGCATGGTTGTTGGCGTCAGATGAGTTGATCTGCTGGCCTTTTTAGAGTCTTCAGAGTTAGTCAGAAAATCATTAGAATAAGCCATAATACTCAGTGAGTGGTGAATCTTTGAGCAAAACTGCCTTGTTCATGCCAAAAGTCAGAAAAAGAACGGACAGACAAGTAGGAGCTGATGGAAAGGCAAAAGTTTAAGAACCACTTAATAGAATAAGTTCTGCAGAAAAGGATTTCTGAATGCACAACGTGTCAAACCTTGAAAGAGATGAGCTACAGACATTGTAATTCATGTGAATATGAGGCTTGTATTGGTTATTAGTGGCAAAGTATCAGCCGTAACATTCTAACAGTGCATCTATTCACACTGACAAAGCGGGCTTTCAGATGACATACAGTGTGAAAAGCCCTTACGTGTTCTGAAATTCCCTGAAATCATACCATGTTTGATATCCTCTGACTAAATTAAATCATAGTATGAAGCTTAAAAGGTCTGAACTTATTATACGCTCCTCAACTCAAATCTGCCAAATAAGATATTACTCATTCTCATTCAGGTTGTAATTTGCAGCAAATGATATTTAGTGCACTTTAAAATGTACTTCAAAGTGAATCATTGAAGTTCTTTGAACAAAACTGACCTAGATGTAGCACATCTTCTGTGGTTAGATTACAGCTGCTCAGTCTGAGTTCCTGTAGTTTGCAATCAGCCTGCAGGGGCTCCAGAAACTCCCTCAGATTTTCCCCAACACATTTGTTCCAAGACAAATTCAAACTTTCAAGCCGTTTCAGCGTCTGCATGACGGTAGCTGTGAACAATCGCAGAAACAAACGACATTTTAACAGACTCATTTCAAATTGAAATAGCATCAAGTTTTGCCAATTCGTCTTTGTTTCCTACCAAGAGCCTGGCATGCAGAATCACTCAAGTCACAGTTGTTCAGTGGAAGCTTGGTCATTTGAGAAAGAGGAAGGCTTTGCAGAAGATTCTGGAGTGTGTCTCCAACACTTTTGTTGGATGATAAATCCAGCTCTCTGAGCTCTTTAAGAGATGGAGCTACCTGGACTGAAAAGTGAATTAAAGGACAAATGTTAACATGATTGCTTAACTTTAAGTAAGAGCTGCACAATATATTGTTTCAACAGCAATGATATTGCAATGTGTGCATGCAGAACAGTCACATCAAAGGATCTGCAATGTTGAGTTGGGATTATACAGTGCTCAGCAGAATTGAGAACACCCCATTTTTGAAAATGAATATTTTTATCCATTGTTTTGTGAATATAGGCAATGTATTTTGGTGCATTTAAACAAAACAGATATATTTATTAAAATAATATGTTAGTCAACAAAAATACTTAGAAATTAAAACGTCGCTCAATTAAATTCAAGCAAAATATTGCAAAAAAAAAAAAAAAACTACAAAATTTCAACTAAATTTTCCCTTTTTTATATATATTTTTGCTTCTCTTGATTTTTCCTCTTTTTAAATTCATTCATTTATTCATTTTCTTGTCGGCTTAGTCCCTTTTTTAATCGGGGTCGCCACAGCAGAATGAACCGCCAACTTATCCAGCAAGTTTTTACCCAGCGGATGCCCTTCCATTTCTGGGAAACATCCACACACACACAGACACACACACACTCATACACTATAGACAATTTAGCCTACCCAATTCACCTGTACCACATGTCTTTGGACTGTGGGGGAAACCGGAGCACCCGGAGGAAACCCACGCGAAGGCAGGGAGAACATGCAAACTCCACACAGAAACGCCAACTGAGCGAGGTTCAAACCAGTGACCCAGCGACCTTCTTGCTGTGAGGCGACAGCACTACCTACTGCGCCACTGCCTTGCCTCTTTTTAAATTTGTACTTAATATTTTTCTAACATATGAATTTGGATGTACTAGTTTTTAGACAGTTATCGTAAGTTATAAGCTCCAGATTTGGCTTCAGTACTGACTAATCTAATGTATATGAACAAATATAGTATTGTATAGCTTCCTATTAAAAGTTTGAATTTAAAAGAGAGATTTTTGAGGGGTGGACTTGTATATGCTGAGCACTGTAGTTAATCAGCAGCACAGTTCAGAATGTGTGTTATTTATGGAGTAACTGCTGAGATTAATCATAACCAGGAGTGCACAAACCAAACTAGAATGAGGCTAGAGGGCAGAAGGTAAATACAGGGTTTCTGCAAATTTAAGACTTTTAAAAATTTTGATTTTGAGAGTTAAAATATTTTAAGACCCCACGGAAACCCTGTAAACATAGTTCCCATGGGTTCTTCCTAATTTATTTAATAATATTTTAAAATAACTAGAAAACATTGCTTGGTATTAGCTAGTATACATTTTTGTATACAAACTTATTACAGTAAAAACAATCCTGTTTATTGTAGAATTATGTTACACTAGTCAAGCTGCACCTGATTTTGATTTGATTTGCTCACAGATATCTTCTGCATTGTCTATCCTCTGTCGAGTGACAGTATTTACATTTTTACAAAGTATTTATTTATGTATTTACAATTAACATTTAAATGAAACATTTCAAAACAAACAAACAAAAAAATTATAATTTATTTTAAATTAAAAATGACAATCTCAGTTAAAATCATTCGCCCTGACCCTGCCTATCATTCTTACTCTCTTCTCAGATGACATGGTGGGCCAAATCAAAGGTTACAATGGACCAACTTTGGCCAGCAGGCCCTATTTTGGGCATCTCTGAGCATAACAGAGTGAACGTTTATCATATGCATGTGTTTTTAAGATATTTCAAAAGCATTTCAAGAGTGTTTAAAGCATCCAGGAACAAAAATTACAACATTTGTAACTTTAAAAGACATTAATTTTACTGAAATATCTATACATTCACTCAAAAAAAATCCATTTTACTGCACAATTGTTGAGTTTTCTTAGGACAACTTAAATATTTTATGTTCAATCAACTTATATGTGTAAAAGCAATTAAGTTTACTAAATGAATTTGTGTTGGGACAACATGAAGCAATTGTGTGGAACCCAGCATTTTTAACAGTGTTGACTATACAGTGTTGTTTTACATTACATTTGATTATTCAATGTCTGTACCTGAATACGGTTTGACTCTAGAATTCCATAAAGCACTGTTAGTTTCACTTTTATCTGTGCTTGCAATTTGTTTATTATATTACATGCATAATTCGCTCTCCTACAAAATCATACCAATCAATCTAAATGTATGCTTTCATTCCATACAGAGCTAATCAAGTCATATGGGGAAATTGTATTTACGTTGAAGAAAAATAAAATATCACAATGTCAGTTTTTCACTATCATCCAGCCCTACTTTTAAGGAACATGTCTTACCTAAAGTCAGCACATCGTCCTTTGTTAGACAGCACAGATGCATGTCCAAACTTCTCAAGTGTGTGAGGAGAAGTAGATTAGCAGCCAGTGTACTGAGACCTCCACCTGCTTCCTTATTACACGATAGATCCATGTGCTCTAGTGCAGTGATGAACCTGAACGCCTGGCCTATTAACGTTTCAGAAAACATATTAAAAGTATATCAGATAACTGGCAGATCATTTTATATGTATCCATGGATTGTGTTGTTAATAGTTGTGTTCATTTGTCATTTAAGGTCCATTGAAGGTCTTTTTATCATCGCTCTCTTACCCAGGGCACTGAGATGGTCTTTACCGAGTCCACACATGCTCAGCTTTAAGGTCTTCAGCCTTGGAGTTGCGCTGAAGGAGGAGGTGAGGTTCTCCATTCCCTTTATTGACAGCTTGTTATTAGACAAATCTAATTCTTCCAAACCAGACAACAGTGGAAGAGCTTTACCTGAAGAAAAATAACAGTGCTTTAAAAAAGGAAACTGATATAATGCCAATTGTTTACCAATTATAGCTTTTCCTAAATAACCTACAGCTGATTGAATGTACAAATATACAGTTAAAATCAGAGTTACTAGCCTCCCTTTGAGTTTAAGTTCTGGACTGCTCACAAAAATATACTTTATGGTAAAATTCCAGTGTGAAATGGCTGAAGGTTCTGCTTAAATATTTGTATTTTTTCTAAGTTTATACAAGTCTGGTCTTACTCAGAGCTGTAATGTCTGTCTCCGAGAGCTGGCAGTCCACCAGGCGGAGGTCTTTCAGTCTGTTTTCAGGTTGGATTTGTTCTGTGAAGTGTCTGAAATTTCCTGCGCCGATGCCAACATTCCAGGACAGATCTAGCACCTCTATTAGAGGAATGCAGTCGAGAGCCTCGCCTGGAGTAACAGATAAGGAGAGGTTTGTCACTTCTACTTAATCATTTTAACTTAATTTATCAATTATATGATGCGAGATAAAAAAAATGATGATTTTGTAAACAGTGTTAAAGGGATAGTTCACCCAAAAATGAAAATTCTGTAATCATTTACTCACTCTAACTTAAGCTTCCTTTTTTTCAGTTGAACACTAAAGATGATATTTTGAACCTGTAACCATCGACTTCCATAGTATTTGTTTTTCATGTTATGGAAGTTAATAGCTACAGGTTATTGACTTTTTTATATAGTTCAAAAAAAAAAAAAAAAAAAAAAAAGAAATCCATAAAGGTTTGGAACCACATTAATAAGAGTAATGACTAAATTAGCATTTTTTGGTGAACTAACCCTTTAATATTCTAGCTACATTTAGTTTTTAAATAAGTGCGACTTTGGTTGTTATACTGTCAATATTAAATCAATTAAGAGCACAAATTTTTTGGTGATTAACTTATGGGCGCACATATGAGCGCAAATGCATTTGCTATTTAAACAGCGTAGCGCAACGCCTCAAAACCACTCTTGCGCCAGGCTGAAACTATCAAACAAGTATTGCGCCGTGCCTTGCGCCTCATTGCGCCGGGTGTATGATAGGGCTCTTTAAGTGATCAGTTTTTAAAACAATAATTTATTTACAGATGCAAAAAAACATTTTGTAACCCTAAAGAACATTTTTTTTTCATTGTAAAAAACATTTTGGTGATGGAAATGTTTTATATTTGCCAATTTAAAAAAAAAAGTGTACGCTCAAAATTTTAATAAAAGTCCTGGAAATGACATGAGTGTGAGTTAAAGATAGCCTGTTCATTTTTTGGGTCAACTTTCTGTCCCAAGAATAATGTAATATTAGCTGTACCGAGAGCAGTCAGGTCCTGCGGTGCTAATCTACAGCTGCAGAGCTTCAGCATTCTGAGCTTCTCCACATGCTGCAGGTGTGCAGTGAGAGCCTTCAGAGAGCCTCCGAGCAGATCATTCCAGGACAGCTCCATCAGCTCCAGCTCAGACATGAACGGCAGCAGGGTGGCTGAGAAAATGTCCAAACAACAGCTAGACATCCAGATACATGACTTCTTGTGTATTATGATATTGTAGTGTTTCTCAACCACGTTTCCGGAGGACCGTGTGTCTTCTTTGTCTGTTACTCTTCTAATGAGCTGATGATCTGAATCAGGTGTGTTTAGTTAAGGAAACGTAGAAAATGTGCAGAGCTGGTGTTCCACCAGGAATGTGGTTGAGAAACACTGATATAGTATGTGGAAAAAAAAAAAAACACCCACCCAGTTCCACTAAATCTGTGGCTGTCAGATCACAGTGGCTCAGGCTCAGGCTGTGACTGTGAGGAGTTTTGCCGAGCTTCTGCATGAACTGCTTGACCCGACCCCAGCCCACAACTGAGCCACTCTCCTCAGCCGTGATGCTGCTCTCTAAAGGAAAACAGGAGTTTGTTCATTTAAGTTTGCTTTAAAGGGATAGTTCCAGGGTTCCCACTCTAAAAGCCAAATATCAAATTCTCTAACGTTTGCCTGACTTTCACTGACTAAAAAGCTGATTTACCATTAACTATAATGAATGGAAAATCAGGCCGCTGTTGTGTTTTGCATAATATTAAAATGGTTGAAAATCATCTTGCAGGACTTCAATAGCTACTATGAGAAAAACAATAGATAATATACCTTTGATTTTGACAAATATCTAAGGTATTTGCCGTTTGCATGGCTGTGAGAAGTGCTCCCTCTCCCATATTTGATAATTTCGGTAGTATTTTTACAAACTTTATTTTACTTGTTACTACACTTACTTTTTCTTTCATCTACTTTTCTTTACCCTCTGAAGTGGTCATAACAAAGTCAAATCTTCTATTTTTTTTATTATCAAGACATGTTATGCTTATTTAACAGGTAAAGTCTGGTGACTATGTTTGACTTACAGAAAATTAAAGTAATACATAGCTGGAAAAAAAAAACTAGCTATAAAACAGATATGAAACAACACTATAAAAATGTGGTATAGCAAAATTACTTTTTCATGGATGGAGACTAAAATGTCCAGCGACAAAATATAATCCTGGATATTCCATGATATGGAAAAAATATAAACGGACTGACTTTCAATGTCTGGAATGGACATTTTAAAATTCTATGATATTCCAGAAATTCCATGACCCGTGGGAACCCTGTAGTTCATACATTTATCACCATTTACTCACCTTCAAGTGATTCCAAACCTTTTTTCTGTCTTCATATTCATTCATTCATTCATTTTCTTTTCAGCTTATATTCCTTTTATTAATCAGGGGTCGCCACAGCAGAATGAACTGCCAATTTATCCAGCATATGTTTTACCTAGCTGATACCCTTCCAGCTGCAACCCAAAACTGGGAAACACCCATACACTCTTGCGTTTACACATATGCACTATGGCCAGTTTAGCTTTTTCAATTCACCTGTACCGCATGTCTTTGGACTGTGGGGGCACCCAGAGGAAACCCACGCAAACACAGAGAGAACATGCAAACTCGACACAGAAATGCCAACTGACCCAGCCAGGGCTTGAACCAGCGACCTTCTTGCTGTGAGGCGATCGTGCTACCCACTGCACCACCGTGACGCCCTTTCTGTCTTCCCATTGACTTTAAATGTATGGTCAAAAGTACAATAATCAAAAAAGAAAAGAAAAAAGAACCTAAACATTTGGTTACCAATGTTCTTCAAAATATCTTCTTTTGTGGGAAAGAGTATACAGTGCATCTGGAAAGTATTCATAGCGCTTCACTTTTTCTACATTTTTTATGTTACAGCCTTATTCCAAAATGGATTAAATCCATTTGCCCTCCAAATTCTACACACAATACCCCATAATGACATTGTGAAAAACATTTTTTTTTAATTGCTGCAAATTTATTAAAAATAAAAAAGCTGACAAATCACATGTACATCAGTATTCACAGCCTTCACTCAATACTTTATTAATGCACCTTTGGCAGCAATTACAGCCTCAAGTCTTTTTAAATATGTTGCCACAAGCTTGGCACGCCTGTCTTTGGGAATTTTTGCCCATTCCTCTTTGCAGTACCTCTCAAGCTCTGTCAGGTTGGATCGGAAGCGACGGTGTACAGCCATTTTCAGATCTCTTTAAAGAAGTTCAATAGGATTTAGGTCTGGGCTCTGGCTGGGCAACTCAAGGATATTCACTAAGTTGTTGTGAAGCCACTCCATTGATATTTTGGCAGTGTGCTTTGGGTCATTGTCCTGCTGGAAGATGAACCGTTGTCCCAGTCTGAGGTCAAGAGTGCTCTAAAGCAGGTTTTCAGTCAGCATGTCTCTGTACATTCCTGCATTCATCTTTCCCTCTATCCAGACTAGTCTTCCAGTTCCTGCTGCTGAAAAACTTCCCCACAGCATGATGCTGCCACCACCATGCTTCACTGTAGGGATGGTATTAACCGATTGATGAGCAGTTCCTGGTTTTCTCCAAACACCTGACATTCACTCCGAAGAGTTCAATTTTAGTCTCATCGGACCAGAGAATTTTGTTTCTTATGGTCTGAGAGTCCTCCAGGCTGGGAGTGGCTTCTGTCTGGCCACTCTACCATACAGGCCTGACTGGTGAATTGCTGCACAGATGGTTGTCCTTCTGTAAGGTTCTCCTCTCTCCACAGAAGAACACTGGAGTTCAGACAGAGTGACTATAGGGTTACTGATCACCTCCCTGACTAACGCCCTTCTCCCCCGATCACTAAGCTTAGATGGCCGACCAGCTATAGGAAGAGTCCTGGTGGTTCCAATCATCTTCCACTTTTGGATGATGGAGGCCACTGTGCTCATTGGAACTTTTAGATCAGCAGAAAATTTTCTGTAACCTTCCCCAGACTTGTGCCTCAAGACAAACCTGTCTCAGAGGTCTAGAGACAATTCCTTTGTCTTCATGCTTGGTTTGTGCTTTGACATGCACTGTCAACCCTGGGCCCTTATATAGACAGGTGGATGCCTTTTCAAATCATGTCCAATCAACTGAATTTACCACATGTGAACTCCAATTAAACTGCTGAAACCTCTCAAGAATAATAAATGGAAACAAAACGTACCTGAGCTCAATTTAGAGCTTCACGGCAATACTTATGTACGTGTGATTTTTCAGGGTTTATTTTTTAAAAATTTGCAACAATTTAAAAAAAATTTTTTTTTCACATACTCATTATGTGGTATTGTTTGTAGAATTTTGAGGAAATAAATTAATTTAATCCATTTTGCAATAAGGCTGTAACATAAAAAATGTGGAAAAGGTGAAGCGCTATGAATACTTTCTGGATTCACTGTATATACATTTATGAAAGCTAATTTTTGATCATACACTGGAGGTCAATGGAAGCAGAAACACTTTGGTAAGCAATTATTTAACTGGTTCTAAACATTCTTTGACTATTCAATGGACAGAAGTATAGAAAGTAATATAAATCAACATTTGAATAGAAACTCTCTAGTATTGAACATGTTCAAAACAGTTTGAAAATCTCCCTAAAAATTCTATTTTCAGGCATAAAGTGGTTCCAAACCTTCATGAGTTTCTTTTCTGTGTATCACAAAACAATATATTTTAAAGAATGTTGGAAATCAGTAACTGAGGATCACAATGGCTACAAGTTACCAACACTTCAAAATATCTTTATTTGTTTTCAACAGAAGAAAGACACTCACCTCTCTCGGGCTCCTTATTTTCTTTTCCTTCACTGAGGTCTGATTCCTTTATCTCAGGTATTCCTCCATTTTTCCTGTCGCTGCTCTCGGATGGTCGGAAGAGTCGTCCTACAGATGTTTTCTTTCTCTCTGTGAAAGAAGTTTTTCTTCGCAGCTGGTTCATAATCAGATCTAGAGGAGATCTTTTCTGAACACTCTCCTTCCCTCTGGCAGCTTCTGCAAAAAGTGCATTTGTGGTTTTTTCAAATGTAAAAAAAATTATGATTATTATTATTTTATATTATATACAATAATTTAAATGTTAATCTCAATTTTTTTAACTGTTTCATTTACGCATTCATTTGTGTATTTCTTTGATTTTTTGATTCCAAGATATTATCAGAACGATTGTCATTATAATCACACCAAAAAATGCAATTAAATAAAAACTAGTTATATTTGTCATAAAATGATGTAATTGATTGCTTATATAGTTTCATGACATGGTTATTTTAACAGTAGGCCTACTGTATGTATATTTTCTAATCTCACACCAAACTAATATTACATTTTGCATTATATTTTGCAATAAAAATACATTATATTTACATTGTAAAAAATATTTTAATAAAAAATTGTATGCCAGCTATATATTTTCATGACACATTTACATTTGTTTGTTTGATTTATTATTGTATGAAATTATTAGAACAATTATTTTTAAATAAATAAAATTAAAAAGAAAATGCACACATACACCTGTGAAATCATTTTCAATAAAGTATACTGTGTGTCATAAAATGAATCACATTTTATGCCATCATTATTTAATCGAGGAGCTACAAAAAAGCAAACTACAATTAAATGGTGTAAATGAATCAGACTTTTAAAATGTAAATACTGTTGCTTGGCAGATAGAGGACAATGCACAAGACATCTCCGGGCAAATCAAAGCAAAGACAGGAGCAGCTTGACTGGTGCATTCAGCATTGATCTCCATTGTGTAATAAATGGGATTGTTTATGTTTTTACTACAATATGTTATAAATGATACTGCATTATTAATTAACATGTTTTCTAGTTATTTTTAAATATTAGCAAATAAATTAAGAAATTACACATGGAAAATTGAATGTAATACAGTTTGGTATATTCAAATTCGGCCCACAGCCCTCGATCAAATAGGGTTTTTGACCCTTTTAAGAAAAAGTTTGGGCAGCTCTGATGTAAATGTCTTAAAATTTTACATGATTAACATTTTTTTACAAAGTCACCATTAATGAAATTATGTATTTAAAATAGTTAATATGGAATGATTTTATTGTTTATAATGTTTGTTCATCAGTCTATTTATTTAATTATTAATTTGGCATTTAACTCTAACTGCAGGTGTTTTCTTCACCCTGGGATAAAACCAAAATTGTTAGAAAAAATATGACTTGTTAAATCGTATGACGTGTTAAATCTTACTAAAAATAGAAGTTATATTATGTCAAATTATAGGGGTTCAGTGTGACCCGGAGATGCTTTTATTTTGACAGGCTTCACGGAATTCACACCTGAAGAAAACTTACCTGATGAGTCCATTGTTCCTTCAAAGAAGTTCTCGGCTGATCTGCAGGTAAATTATTAAGGCATATAGTTATTCTCCTCTTTCGTCAGTCATAAATATATTGTAATGTTCAAAACAATATGACTCCGTCAATTCACGGACTTGTTTACATTGTCATATTCTGCTTGTCGGTGTAACAGGACTCGTTTTAAAATCATACAGTCAAACTGTTGCATGACTCAAGTATTTCCTACCTTGAAATATGTCTTGAATCTTTCCTATATCACTCGTTCATCAATTTGCGATGGTTTTATGTGATTTCAGTCGCTATTTACACCTGTCACGTTCATCTCATTCACACCGGATCCCGGAAGTTTGTTTGAACTTTGGTTTCATAAAAAAAAAAAACTTTGTAAACAAAGGGCTGTCACATGAATCCATCCTCTTAAAAATGATCGCCCACTCAAAATCTTAGTTATTCATTCATGGTAATGGCACAATTAACGTTACCATGAATCTGCTGAGTGGACAACTGGAAATGGGGATGGTTAAACCACATGTGAAACCATACGTTATAACTGGTAACCGTGAGATTCTGCTGACAACTTTTACACATGAACAATAATACAAAAACCAAAGAAGCCGCAGTATTTGTAAGAGAAATTGATTATATGTATATATATATTATGTGTTATATATATTGTGTGTTATATATATATACACACACACACGCGCGTACATACATTAGAAGCATATGTTTTGTTTGTTTATTTATATAGTAATAAAAAATGTCCAAATATGAGTAAAATTGTTCAGTGTAGCGATAAATTTATGTAAAAATGAAACGCAAACATTCTGATTTGTATATTTCAAAATTTAAAGGTGACCGATTATGCAAAAATCACTTTAAACATGGTTGTGTGGCAGCAGTATGCGAATATAGGCAACCTCTAATGGTTACATTTTATTAATTCTATGTTTTATAATCAAACTTCATAAAAACAGTCTTTAGAAACCCTTTGATTGACATTCTCCCTTTTGTACTTGTCATATCGGAGGGGGAAAGCCACGCCCATTAGATGGAAGTCACCAAAACAGTACAGTTTGGATCAAAGCCTAAAAGGGACGATTTCAAAGAGTTATAAAAACCTATTTAGAGGTTATTGTAAGCTGAAACTTACTTACTCTAGGCACATCAGAAAAAAGGGGCATTATAGGACCCCTTTAAAAGAAGGGTTAATATAGTAGTTATTTGAAGATAGTTTGTATTTGATCCATACATCTTTGGAAAAGTCATCATATTGCTTAATTAAATTGAGCTTTTTCTAACATATTTTAGAGATTGTTACCAAAGTCCCTTTAAGGCATAGGTCTCAAATTCAATTTCTGGAGGGCCGCAGCTCTGCACAGTTTTGCTCCAACCCCAATCACACTTCAGAATCTCGCCGGAAGTAGTAGGTCATCCTGGTACTTCTTGCATACTGTTTTTCGAATTCTAAGAATTCGTACTATAGTATGGAAGTATGCGATTTCGGACGCAGCACAGTCTGAATGAAGAAACATCAAATTCTCCAAAATTCCTTAACAAGCCTATAATTAAATTTCATTTTATTAATCATCGATAAAATTAATCAACAACTGTGTCTTTTCTGTGTCTTGTCTCATCCCCTCCTCCCGACATTTGTCAGTCTATGGCGATTGCTGATTGGCTTCATTCACAATGTTGATCGTTACACTTTTCCCCATTCAAAGCTATACGAGTGACACGTCTTGTATATTCTATAGTCTTTAGTATTACTAAATGATTACCCTTCTCAATTAAACTATAACCCTTTTATTGTTTTAATAATTGAGACCCCATTTTTGTCCAAAGAAATTCAAACCAGCATATAATTTTATATATATAATCATTTATTTATTTTCCTGGACAGCACATTAATATATAATTATTTTTCATGAGTTGATGTAGAAATATATGACATACAAAACTGGTGGGTGATACAAAGTGTCTTGATCACAAGTGGAGGTAGGACACAAGAGTCATACGATACGCAAAAGATGGCACTGGCAAAGAGAAGTAACTTTCTTTTCTTTAACGTGACAACATTATTGTGAAATTATGTTTGGCTTAAAGTTTAGCAAACAATACTCAGCATATCTGTATCTTATATATTTCTTCAATCTTACATGCATCTTTAGGTCTGGAAAATGGAAAAAAAGGAAACTTCATAGCAGCAACACAGAGGTATTTATGAGTCATATAATGGACCGCTCCATCCATCAACTTCTATACACAACCTATATTTGATATATATATTTATATATAAATGTTTGTTTTCATTTGAGGTAGTGACTATTTTAACTGTTCAATTTTGCATATAAAAGCAATTACAAATAAACACGCTGATTGTCAGTTACAGCAAACAATATCAATACATACATTTTCTTTCTTACACACACAAGAATAACCAGCCTGATCTCACGAGAAAATGTAATTATTTTACGTTTTGTCCATTTAGTGGCTAATTCGACTGTAAAAATTTACTATTTTAAATAGGAGGTGCAACACCCAACCCCGTCCCTAAACCTAACCGTCATTGGGTGATGAGCAAATCGTACTAAACTCTACGCGTTAGATCATACGAATTCATACAAATTTGCCACTAAATCAAATAGTTACGAATTGCCGTGAGATTGCATTGGAATACCACATATCTCTGAGCAAAGTAAACAGACCTGCTTGTTTAGACGCTTTATAGAATGTAACTTCTGTCACTTTTAAAGGTCCCATGAAATGAAAATACTATGTTTTAGATTTAAGTATCAATATTGTTTGTTTTAGGATATCCATAAATTAGTGCGTTCACGTTTAGAATTTATAAAACTGATATAAACATGTGAAGCTTACAGTTTGTCGCTGGCCCCTGATTGGATCAACGGTTTTATTCACGTCACCTCAAACCTTTAGTTTCTCATCAAATCGACCAATCAAAAACCCTTTAGTATCTGACATGCCCCGCCCCCTTCAAGACACCTCACATTTGATGCGCTTGAGCTCAACCACTCAACATTGGCTGTTTTTTAAAAAGGGTAAGAGCTACACTATGTCCCGCTCTCTCTTCATATTTCGGTTGAGATTGCATCAAACATCGAATAAAAATACATATTTCAAAACACTTCATGGGACCTTTAAAATGTAGCAGTTTCTGTTTGGTGTTAAATGTCCTGGAAATAAGCAAAAAGAAAATTCTGGAGGCAAAACATTCACTGGAAATGGCTAGAAATCATTTTTTTTTTGTTTCATACCACAGTGTAAACATATTATATTTATCCATAATTTATGAAAGTACACATGCGTATAATTTTGTACATTCATAATAAGCATAACCTACAGAAAATAGAAAACAAATCTGGCACAAAGAATGTTAAATATGTTGATTATTCACATCACATTTATGCATGTACAATAAATATTTTAGAAACAATATTAGTCTGGGTATTTTTTTTTTACAATTGTAGTTTTCAAAAAACAAAACATTTAATATCAGTAGTTCTAGCACTGATAAACCAAAACGGATTGATTGTACGCTTGCAGAGTCATTGGTTTGCATAACGTCTCCAGCTACTTATTCTAAAAATAGTTCACACAAAAAAAATTAAACTCTGTCGTTTACTCAACCTTTCAGTTTCTCCAAAGCTCTTTGAGTTCTATTTTATGTTCAACATAATGAAGATATTTTAAAGAATGTTTAAAACCAGTAACAACCATTACATTTTAAACAAGTGGCAGGAGTGGGATGCAATGGAAAATAATAGTTTGTATGAAATTCAACCTGAAATCTCTCATGTTTTAAGACATTTTAAGACTAGATTTGAGTAAGCGATTTTACAGATGTCATATTGGACATACGAGGTTAACCCATGGCTTTTTACTCAAAGGTGAAGACCCCACTCAATTTTGTACTGTACAACTCACCTTACTGTACAACACATTTTAATGAATTGTTCTGCTTCTAATGATTCTAGAAGGCTTTTTTTTAATGAACTCTCTTAAGCAAATTTTTAGCAAAGTGACACCAGGAAAAACTTTAGAATTTTATCATGTGTTAACACTAAAAATCATATTTATTTATTTATTTATTTATTTATTTATAAATTTGTTGGTTGTTTTTAATTGTATATTTATTATTGAAATGTTTTTGCCATAAAAATAGCCTTGATTGCTGACATGGCATTAAATAAAAAATACATTACATTACATTACATTGAAACCAGTAACCATTGACCTCCACTGGTACAAAAAAAAGGGTTAAATACTATGATCATCAGTAGCTACCGATTTTCAACATTCTTCAAAATGTCTTTTTTATGTGTGTTAACATATGAAAAAGAGGAATTGGTTGAGTAAATGATGACAGAATTTTAATTTTTCCATAAACTATTTCTTTAAGTTGTATCAAAACACTCCAAAAAGTCAGTTCACAGCATAAAACCCAAACTTACTCGGCATCACCGTTATTGACAAAATTATTCCTGCCTTGAAAGCAGCTCTGGCATCCAAAGTCCAAACTGAAAAGCACACTGCAGAATCCATCCGGATCAGACTAAGAGGCAGGCGACATGTGTGTGTCGCTGGGACTGTCCATTGAGTCGTGTTGTGCGGGGTGTGTGGACTCCCTCATCTGCTGCTTGAGCTCAGAGATGGTTCTCTCCAGCCGCTCTCTGGCTTCTCTCTCTCTGCGCAGCTCCTCCTGCAGCTCCTCTCTGTCTTCTTCTGCTCGGTCCAGCCTCTGACGCAGCTCTGATAACTGAACATACCACACCATCACTCAGATTGAGCCTTCCCATCCACATCACTACATAGCACAGGATTTGATAGCCAGCATCTGCTGTATTAGATACTTTTATTTTAGTGTGTATTTAAAATAGTTTATTTTTATATATACATGTCATGAGCTATACGCAGTGGCTCAAAGAAAATAGAGCACAATTTAATAGATTTTAATATGCATATTTGTATTATTAGATTTAAAGTCTTTTATTTTTATTGTATAATAGTTTGTGTCAGATGAAAACAAAAAACAATCTCTTATCCATTTATATAGATTATTATATTGATTATTGTCTGTAATATTAGATTTTTTAAACTATTCAAAAATACATCAAAATGTATTAAAGTGTGTGTGTGTGTGTGTGTGTGTGTGTGTGTGTGTGTGTGTGTGTGTGTGTGTGTGTGTGTGTGTGTGTGTGTGTGTGTGTGTGAGGTGTGTGTTAGTGTGTGTGTGTTAGTGTGTGTGTGTTAGTGTGTGTGTGTTAGTGTGTGTGTTTGTGTGTTAGTGTGTGTGTGTGTGTGTGTGTGTGCGCGTGTGTGCGTGCGTGTGTGTATACTCTCTCGGCGAAGGCAGTCGCACTTTTTTCCCTCTCCTGTATTTCTCCTGGCTGGCTCTTTTTATCTTGTCGTATTCTATCTCTGAGGCTCTCCTTGCCCTGCTCTTCAAACTATAAGGAATTATGAATTTGATCAACTGGTCTCTGAACGCAATTGACACCATCTTCTCAACGAAAAGTGGCAAGTCGTGTGCCTGGCCACCCTGTCCCTGAAGGATACTGAAAATATCCATTTAGTCGGAAATTTGATAACAGAGTTTCTGCTGATGAGCTTTGGCAGGGCCCTGGGGTATCAATGATCGGTCCAAAACCCCACCAAGCTGGCTGGATTGAAACGGTGGTGAGCAGAACTGTTAGTACTCAGACTGTGGTTAAGGACCCCAAATTGGAAAACATTGTGGAGAAACTAACAGCTTTGCAAAGAGATTTGGACATTAGATATCTGCGAAATTGGCAGATATTAAGCCAAATTGAGAAAGCTTTTTCTCTTTTCTCTTTCGGCTATGTGTTTATGTGCTTGTTGCTGGGGCTTTTTTCCCCGATATCACACTGCCTTACTTCAAGGACAGTCTGGAAGGGGCTTTTTTCGCCCCCCTTTTCCCAAACGTATCTTATTTCCTCTTTCAAAGGCCCCGTTTACACTAGTGCGTTTTAGTTTGAAAACGCATAAGTTTTGCTACGGTTACGCCATCCGTCCACACTACGCCGGAGTTCTCGAGCGCCGAAAACGCTGGAGAGGCCGTTTTCATTCTGAAACGCTGCTGCTCCGTCTCAGTGTGGATGGGGAAAGACGGAGACATCTGAAACGGAGGCGATTGGGGCTTTTCCTCAATATTAAGTAGCCCACACACAGTTCAGTCTCGCATCCTCTTCTTGTAAGTTAAGACTTCGCAAGTTTGATCAAGGCTGCAGTCTCCCCCTTCTCAGTTTGATATGGAAAACATACCGAGGACACGGGTAAATCTTTAAAGGGAACAGTGTACTTTATAACTTCATTCACATCACCTTGGCTACGTTGTTTCACTTTCTCAACAATAAAATGTAAACATGATTTAAGGAACTGCCTATTTTCTTTTAATATTAGCAACTTAACAGACAGCAGAAATGTTGAGGCGCCGTGCTGCATATATGAGCGTCATCTTCACTGTGTGGATATTTATAACAAAACGGAGCCTACAACAACTGCCTCCTTTCAATTTCAGTGAAAATACGAAACGCACCCTCCCTTTTGCTGAATATCAGTTTTAATAATCGATAATTATAAAAGTATAACATACAATAAGTTTATACATTGTAGGAAATAAAGGCAAGCGATCAGTCAATGTACCTGGATTAATCATTAACTTTGCGCTTAACCAAAACATGTTACCCGTGAACAAGTAACTTAATAGATTCCAATGACCAAAGTCAGGGAATTGGCCTATGTCGTTAGATAAAGACAACAACATGAATGAAATATCACGTTTAGCAAATATAGTAAGATTAGATCCAGCGGGAGATGCGTGATGAGCAGTCCGACAAGCAGAGCTCTCATCTGGGTAGAAATGCTGGAGCGCTTGCCCGAGAGTGTGTGTGTGGTCACCTGATGTGCGTTTTCAGCGTTTTGGTGTGGACTGAGAGCTGTTCAGAAACGCTGGGTAAAACGCGAGTGTGGGCGCGGATCGTTTTCATTCTACAACGCCGTTTCAAAACTAAAACGCACTAGTGTAAACGGGGCCTAAAGCTACCTCTCATCTGACCTGTCTTCCCCTCAAATGTTTGATGTTTGTTTATGGTTGGAGGGGTCTAATTTCGCTACTTGTAAAAAGTATATGTGACAAATAAAGGCTTTTTTCATATATTTATTTATTTAATATTTTCATATATCTGTAAAATGACTGAAATATGGCACACTATTTCACCCAAATTCTACCATTTTATTTTCACACAAGGTATTTGAATTATTAAAGCATACATTAGCATTTAATAGTCTTTCAATGTTTATTTTAGGTATTGCATAGATTAACATTAACTGGTAGGTTATTAATACTTACTACGCTTAAACTTTGAAACAGTAGTATATTTAACACACTAATATGCATCTATTTAAATGTGTAAAGGCAGATACCTGTCTGGCGTAGATGGTTTCCTGGTGCGTCTCAGTGCTCAGTTGTTTGCATCTGCACTCCTGCTGCCTCAGCTGGTCAAGTCTGGACTTCAGCTTTCTCTGCTCCTGCTGGACTTCACCGAGCCGCTGAGCGTGTTCGGTCTGAACGGCCTCAAGCTCTCCGTGAAGGTCACATCGGTCGAGGGTTTCACCCTGACGCAGCGCCTGCAGCTCCTGTTCACAAGCACCACAGTGAGAACCAGTCTAAGCTGCTGCCACAGATATTATTTGTGTTCTGTTTTAATCTAGAGAGGGAAAAAACCTTTTCGAGCTGCTTCTGTCTGTACAGTGTGGATTGGAGTTTGTCGTGCTGAGCGCTGTACATCTGTAGGAGCTCCATCACCATGTTGTCCTTACTGTGCTCTACAGACCGCTTACAATCCGGCGAATCTGCCATTCTCTGCCATTCATCCGCACTGCCGTCATCTGACTGGACACTTTTCTCTTGGCCTGTAGCAATTCGATTGTTTGTTTAGAAACAAATAGATCATTTTCTAGAAAATAAGCATCTAAAGTTTACTTCGTTTTTACTTATTCAGAAATAATGAAAATATGCTGCCATTAGAACAATTTGTCCATTTATAGCACTTTTACATTTTGGCCTGGCAAATTAGCGAATTTGAGGGTAATTCTTCAATCTCATTTGTACATTTTCTTACTCTCTGAACAAGATTTTTATTTATTTTTTATTTTTTTGCACAAGTGAGGTTATAAGGGTCAATAAGTCAATTAAAAACCTGCTACTTAATATGTGAGGTTGTGTTTAGTCTTTCCAAACACAAAGGATCCTTTTTGTCACAAACATTCAAATGATCACAGGAGAGCTTAGATTTTTTTCGTTTGGATAGAAACACTATGTTTACTGTAGAGATTGAAATAAAGTAAACCATCTTTTGAAAGTAGCTCTGGGTCATTTTTATTATTTATATTTTTACACAAGTAGATGGTGACAAATAGCTGTTGAAACTTTATTTTCCTCATTAATGAAATTATTTGACTTATTATACCCCCACTATTAACTGTAGTGGGCTTTTCCTTTTCTGGCGCCCAACCCAATTTATTAGCCAAAACAGAGTGTATTTTAGTTCTACTATTAGTCAAACAGAGGAAGGAATGAAATATAGAATCATACGATCATGGATTTTTCCAAACATGAATATAAACATCAAGCAAATTTATTTCAAGTGAAACTGAAACTAGTGCTTGTGTGAAATGTGCTACACATACTCACACGGCTTTCTATTTTGACACACATTTGAGTGTGGATTTTGAGCATGTTTTTTTATTTTTTTTTTATTATTTTTTTTACTTTATCTATATGAGCCACTTTAAATTATTTAAATAATTACAAATTCTGTTCCAGAAAATATTCAATTTTTAATGCAATGTGACCTGTAGTGGAAGCAAACTGACCTGTGAAGGTGAGGGTCTTTGTGTCGGTGTCGTGTGCATCCTGATTCTTTTCATCCTGAGTATCAGTCTGCATCTCTGTTCCCGGAGACCCCATTTCCTTTTCAGGCACACAGCCAGAGTGTTGTGCCAAACCATTACCTGCCGGCTTGTCATGTGTGTACTGGTACCAGCTGGAGAACAAAACATGAAGTTATTTACTGTAGAAAAACAAAACAGCAATAAAATGACTAAATGATTAAAACTTTCAATTTTAAGGGTAGCTAAAATAAAGCAAATTCTAATTTAAATAAAATATTTTAATTTATTTAAATGTACTTTTTATCATATTTTTTTCAATATTTATTGGATAATTATGCAGTAATCACGACTGAGGACACTATTAATAATGCATGCACATACAATGTAAAAATCCAGATCTACAGCAGCAATAAATTCATTTTCATAGTTTTTAAAAGCTTTCTTTTTTTCTGCATTTAATCTGCTCTCATATGTTTTACATTCAAATATGATCAGTTTTTTTTTATTTATCTGAACATGTAATAACTGTTAGCAAACTGCACCTTTGCCACATCAAGTCATCATTACTGGGCTCCTCCTTCAGACCGGCAAGCAAGCGTGAGTCGAAAACAAAAGCAGGTGATGATACTCCCTGAAAGAGAGAGAGATAAAAAGAACTCGTTAGCCTGGTTTCAATGACAAAGAGGGATGGATTAACCCATTGTGTGTTAATGCAGATTAACAAATAGCCAGTCCCTTTGAGTTTTCTCACTTAGAGAATATTGATTTAAAACCTTCAAAACACATAAACACATTCGCAGTCGCTCATGTGAGTCATTCTTTTCCAATACAGAACGCAATGTGAATGCATTGATTAACCATCATTCTAACATGTTTTACAGGCCCTGATGTCTGATGAAGCTGCACGTGCTGAAATTGCAGTTCATTCAATATAGTGACTAATTAATATGAATTTGTATTGCCTAATTTATACATATCCAGTCAATAAAGCATCAATGCAGTTTTTGATCAGTTTTATTATAGTACACAAGCAATAAGGCATTCTATACTTGTGAATGCATTGATTAACCCTCATTCTAACATGTTTTACAGGCCCTGATATCTTTTAAAGCTGCACTTGCTACATGTATGATGAAACACCCACCAAAATGTCAACAATTTGACAATTCATTCAACAAAATAGATAAATAATATAAATTTGTATGGTCTAATATATACATATCTATCCAATGAAGCATGAATGAGGTTTTGTGATCAGTTCTATTGTAATACAGAAGCAATAAGGCTTCATATACTTGGGAATGCATTGATTAACCCTCATTCTAACATGTTTTACAGGCCCTGATGTATGATGAAGCTACAGTTATGCTAAAACACCCACTGAAATGTCAACAATTTGGCAATTCATTTAACAAAATGGCTAATTAATATGAATGGATTAATTTATAGATATCCAAACAAGATGCTTATATCCCAGTGGCAGTTTTGTCTAGTAATGAGCCTTGTTGCTCGTTAAAAAAAGATACCTATATGAACAAGAGACATAATAAGACTTCATGCAGATTAACCGCTAATTCTTTGAAGCATGAATGCAGTTTATGTGATCAGTTCTATAGTACAGAAGCACTTTCTATACTTGTGAAAGCATTGATTAACACTTATTCTAACATGTTTTACAGGCGCTGATGTCTGACGTCGCACTTCACAGAAAGCTTCATCTCATTTCTAGTGGAACTATGGATGCTGCTTCCACCAACAGTCGGTAAAGTAAGCTGCTTTAATGTAAATAGGCCATCTGATCTATCCTAAAGCCTCAACGGCCAGACTGCACGCCACACACACTCTCAAAGCACACGTGGACACATTCAAACCATACACCCACACCATGTAGAGACAGAAATTTTCTTTTATGGTCATAGCGCAACAATTCACACGTACGCAAAAGTCCCTCTGCTGTGGTTAGCGAGCACAAACCTGAGGTTCTTCAATGGAAATTAAGCCTTTCTAAGCAACTGTACATCAGCGGTGAGAACCGTTTGGTAAATGTCTCTTAGAAACAAAACAAGCAATATGAGTTTATTAAAAACGCATGCACACACACACACACACACACACACACACACACACACACACATTTACATGTGAAGTCATGTGCAGCGCTCCAGACAAGTGTGAGTGGGGGAAGGGATTGCTGTCTGCAGGCCGTCACGTGAAACTGGCGGCACGAGGACTCTAATCTACACTGCTATTTACGACGAGACATGAGCAGGACAGTCACTCTTCACACACTACAGTGGCATGAATCAGTTGCGGAAATTGTAAAGTAGAGCAAGAGCAGCAGGTTTGACGATAAGGTCAAATTGATTAGCCTTCCTGCTTTAACCTAGTCAGCACAGTAAAGACGGTTTGTAGACAGATAGACAGACAGACAGACAGACAGACAGACAGACAGAAAAATAGAGTGAGAGATAGAGACTGAGATAGATAGATAGATAGATAGCTAGATAGATAGATAGATAGATAGATAGATAGATAGATAGATAGATAGATAGATAGATAGATAGATAGATAGATAGATAGATAGATAGATAGATAGATAGATAGATAGATAGATAGATAGATAGATAGATAGATAGATAGATAGATAGATAGATAGAATAAAGTGAGTGTTAGGACAGATGGATAGAGATGGCTATAGATAGACAGAAAGATAGACTGATAGATAGATACATGGATGGACATACGTATAGACATAAAGAAAAATAGAGTGATGGATGGATGCATACAGATGCATACATATCTGTCTGTCTGTCAGTCTATCTATTTATCACTTTATCTAAGTCGTTGTTATGCCATTGCTGTACAGACTTATTTTTATTTAGTTATTTTCTCTAGTATAGTATACTAATCTGCATTCGTATTGGATAATAAATATAAACAAAAAGTCCAGTCTGCTCCCAGATAGTCTGTTTGAGAACAGTGTTGGCTGGCGATGTTATTGAATCTTTGGTCGAGCATTATATAATGAGATGGGAATTCACTGAATGCTCTGGGCTGTGATTGGCTAAGAGGGAGGCTGGGGCCAGGGGTCTGCTCTCTGATTGGCTGGTGTTGAAGGTCCTGCAGGGTGAGTGCTGGATTTGTGAAGGGGGAGCGAAACTCTGCTGGCACATGTGCCAGAATGTCCCAGCCACTCTCTTTCACTCTTGCACTCAGTCTTTTTGCTCATTCTCTCCTCTTTTTTTCCCACTTCTCTCCACCCACACTCCTCTCCCTGTTTCTCTACCCTGTTGCCGTGGCTCCCGCTGTTTGTGCAGACACTGTCAGGAGGAGCTTGAGAGTCTGGTGACCTGCTTTGAACCACATTCAGCCATTTCCTTTGGAGGGAAACATCTGGTGCGGCATGAGAGCTGGATTCAGCTGACCCAACATTAGATCTGCTGTTATTAATATGTATATATATATATATCTGTTCTATTTATCAACATTAGTACTGAGACAAATCTGGTCTTTTAAGTTTTTTCAGCTAAAATTCTTGATAACTTGCGTACATCTCTCACAATTATCTTTAATACAACAGAAAAAATTATCTTACTATTACTTTCTAAGTGCTACTACTTCTCTATCACTCTTTATTTTCTGTCTGTGTATCTGTCTTTCTGTCTGTCTATCCATCCATTTATCTATCTATTTATCTATCTGAAGAGTGAAGAGTTCAGATGCAAACACCCCTAAAAGCCATTTGATATTTTCTTATAAAATTGGCATTTTCCTCCAACTCCTGTGTGTGGGCTCAGTAATTTTACTTTTATAGTGACGAATAAGGTCTTTTCATTGCCTTTCATGTGAAAAAACTGACGTAAATGTAGGAGGCTGAGAAAAATGCTCATTTTAGAAGAACATTTCAGACAGCATTTGGAGGTTTTTGCATCTGAACTCTTCTGTGAAGCTACAGTTCGGTTAAGATTATCGGTTACAATGTCATCGATTCGGTTCAATTCAATATCTCGGTGAATCTCGGTGCATTGACGTTGCTTTCCATAAAAAAATTTAACATTTTACTTAGCAACACAACAATTCTTGTAATAAATTTTATAAATATATTTAGATATTATTTGTAATACATTTTTGTCCTTTAAAACTATTAGTCAGATATATGTACTGTACGTTTACCTGCTCAAAGAAAACACTCTTTTTGAATGTATCAAACAAAACTCAAGTACATGCACAGAACAACGTGAGCATTTACAGCAAACAAACAAATGTAAATTTTATCTTGCTTGCATTTTTGAGCATTGTTGAGCGAGTTCTTGAGCTTATGAATGATCAGTCACTCAATAGAAAAGGCTGCGATTAGCTCTACCGGTCAGCGCAGCTCTGTCGCTGTCAGAAAACAGTGACACGAACACTTTTGCTAAATAGCCAAGGCGATCAGCTGCTCCTGATAGAATGCAACACGATGGAGAAAACTCACTCAGCAGACATGCTCGTGTTTGGATCTACAAGTAATTGTGTATTTTAATAACTCGCGCTCACCTCCCTCACCATAATAAGCTACCCCAATATAACGCATACGTGATAAATGACGTCAGTCATAATATATATTATTTCTATTATAAAAGGTAAAAAAAATGGTTTTAATCTTTTGGAGTGTAAAATATAGAATATTCTTTCTTTTATTATTTTAATAATTTATTAATTATATATATATATATATATATATATATATATATATATATATATATATATATATATATAATATCTTTTATTATTTATTTTTATTATTTTATTAAATATTACTATTAGTTTTTTTTTTAAATGTGTGTAATTTATATAATCAAATAAATTAAATAGAAATAAAATAAATTGTATTTATGATTTATTAAAAATTAGTTTAATGCTTAATTAACTTAATAACAATATAAAATGTGAATTAAATCATTATTATACCTTATTTTACACTGGATTTTATTTTATTTATTTATTTATGTTTTTACAAATATTTACCTTAACCATAAATGTTCACATGAACAAACTTTCAACATCAATCCATCATATCTTCTCCATTTGTCTTTGTTCAAATTATATCCAACACAACAACACCTTAATTTCAATATATAACAAACCAGAGCTACTCACTACATGAGGCTGCCTCTTCTCCTGCTGGAACTTGGCCTTCATGTCCTCCAAAGATTGTTGTAGCTTTTCCTCATCTGCCGTTCCCAGGTGTCTTTGCGCCAGCTGCAGATAGCAGGCCCACTTGGCTGAATCGAAGCCCCAGTGACAAGTGCGTTTGTCCGGCTGTCGGTGCGAGTGCATAACAAAGCGTTCCGTGCAGAAAAGCATCCGGCATTGAGAACAACGAACGCAGGGCGCATCCGGACTGGAGTAAAGCTGAGGAACAAACAGACCTTGACACTTGCCCAAACATTGGTGTTCCACCCAAAATCCGCCAGATTCCTCGCCATCTTTTTCCTCCTGCTCCCTGTCTAGCGGCTCTTCGCCTGGATGGAGAAGGGTGTTGCAAAGACGCTGGGCATCTGTTAATGTGATGAGGCCGCAGGATGGAGTGCCCGGAGGGAGGATGCCTAGCACTTTGAGGATGTGCAACTGTGTGGCATCACAGCGGGAGCAGTACAGGTAAAGCTGATCACACACAGAGTTTATCTGTTGCAACGAGAAATCCCGAAGGATAGTGTTTAGCAGCTGAGGCAAACAAAGACGTAGTTCTCCTCCAACTGAGAAGCAGGAGATTGATTCGCCTTCCAGAGAGCACATGCTGAGGTCTGTGGAGCTGTCAGGAGGGACTAACAGGGGCCCGCCTGCAATACCTCCATGCGCCAAAGGGGGCGCCAACTTATATTGACCATGATGGCTGGTAAATGCAGCCGGGCCACCAAGGGAGCATTGGCTGCTCAGAGAGAACTGCGCTAGAGTGTGTTTGAGTCCTGGGCTCAGATCCGGATTGGCCTCCGCCTTGCCGAGGGAGGTTTCTGGGATTTTTTTGCAGGACAGATTGAGAGCAGCCATCACACGCTTCTTTATGGGTGTGCCGTCCGTACCATTGTCTCGCATTAAGCGCTTTAATGGCACTTTTAGAAGTGACTGATCCTTGGGGACGTCTGGACGCTTGTTTTCAGTGGTAGTCATGTTGTTTATGGATATCGCTAAGTGGTCTTTGGGGAACAGAAGATGCGCAAGGGGAAGTCTGAGGAATGCAGTGCTTTTTATATGTGGATCATAATAGGTCTTCTTCCCGGATGACTGAAACAAGTCAAAACAAGCATAGTAGATTTATTTTAAAAAAGTTGGTGCGCTAATAATATTTTGTTAACAAATATGCATATTGTACACTATGGAGTGTTAGGTTTTCACAAAAAGGTTAGATAAATAAAGTAAAAAAAATGATGGTGAAGTGTAACAGCTGTTTTGTTATAACATATTTCCAAATAAAATGATGAAATGTATTTAATAAAACAAAGTTAGTTTAGTCCAAAGTTAATAAAACTAAAACTAACAAACCCTAAAGCTAAAATAAAAATGGATTAAAACTATATAGACCTGTTTAAAATGTCTATAAAAAAGACAAAAATGTTATTTGTCATCAATGTCTAAATAAAAACAGAAATTTACATTATGAATCACAGACATGAAAATAATAATTAACTTATTCATATTTATTTGACACTTTGGAGTAAGGATGCACAGTATATCAGCGGCCACATCAATATCGGCTGATAAATGCTATTTTTAATGTTATCGTTATCGGTCTGACATATAAAAATTTGGCTGTAGCCGATAGATTATGTTATGTCACAGAACTGCCTGCCTTGGGCATACATGGGTCGAATTTGTTCAGCCTTGACTAGAACAGAGCTTCCCTCACATTGTATATTGCTTCAAAGTTCATCCTTTGTGTGTGGTATTGCTGTGCGTTAATAACTCCGTAAGCAACCATATTCTTCATCATTGTAGTTATGTTTAAGTGTCATTGTGTATTTTGGTTTAAATTGCCTCGGAAAAATATTAAATGTGTAAACAATAGCAGCGACGCACACCTGCTAAACAACTCGCTGGATTGTTTGTAATCTAATATGAATATTATTTACTATCAATGCATTAGTTATTAGTTACTATCAATGCTTGCCACGTGTTGTTGATGTAAGATTGTATTTAGTTTGATTTTGTTATTTAACCTATTATTTTTATGCAACAGTCAAGTTGCATGTAATTTTGCTATGCGAAGAAAACGAAATAATTTATTTTTGCCATGCTGATTTATGTGAAGTCATGAATCTAGGTCAATATAATCACCTTGCGATTTTTAAATTAAGTTTGTTTGTTTTTTGTTTTGAGTAGGCTATTAAGTTCATAAGATCAGTTCAAACTTTTTAGAAGTTTTTTTTTAAATAAAATCAGTTGTTCGCTGTATAAAAATTTAACATTTTGAAATATTTATATTTCTCGGCTAATATATCAGTTATTGGTCTCCAAATCTTAAGAGTTATCAGTTATTGATATCGGCCAAAAAATACATATCAGTGCATCCCTATTTAGATTCATATTTTTCATTAGTTTTTAATTGTGTAAACTATAACAATAGAAGAAAAATGATCCCTCGATAAATAAAAATCAAATAAAAATAAACGTATTATTATTCCAAAAAGCTTCTCTTTTTTTCACCTTTATGTTTTTAAAATAACTAAAACTCAAATAAGAACAGTAAAACAACTAAATACTAATAATAAAAAAAACTAGGAAAATTAAAATTATTTTATTTATTTTTCAGAAATAAATATATTTCATCCAAATTTGATGTAACTAAATACTATCTAAATAATAAAACAGCACTGAAGTAAACATGTTTACATAAAATCGTTCACAAAATAGTTCAATTTAAATACTTATGAAGGCACTGAACTAGTTTCCAGAAAGGCTAATGGCATTAGCCTCGTTGTTTAAAAACAGTTTGTGTTAATCCTGTTACAAATTAATCATATCTGTAATGTGTTGTGACTGCATGTAGCAGACTTTCCATCCCCTCTCAGACAGACGCCCCGCCCTCTCTCAGACAGAAGCCCCGCCCCCTGTCCGGTCTTACTCTCTCACACACACACACACACAGCCAGAGCTCCGTCCCTCCCCCCTCCGCCGTGGTAATGACATTCACTCGTGCCAGAGAGCTCTGCGGGACTACCCCCATATGCTCCCACATCTATGACACTTTCACATTTCACAACAAACTGCGAAGATAACCCTCGAAAACGATCTCATAACGAAGAAAATGAATGAAGAGAGAATAAAAATACGGGGTTTCCAAAAAACACACACATATATACATTTTAAAATGCTATAAAATCTGAACAACATGACGAAATAACACATTATAATGTTATAATAAAACATGATTTTATTTAAATAACATTAATTTATCCAAATTACAGCATTTGAACGTAACGTTTATGGATTACTGTCGAACATCAGAGGTGACATGTCTATGAGCTGGCTTACAGATATCACATATAAAACATAACTCAAACTACTCGTATATGATTAAATACGTGACACTGACGAATAAATGAAACTAAAATGACACAAAAAATGCGCATGACACGGCTAACCAACGTTAGTACTCGTTAGAAATACTAAATACCAGCTTTCGTAATGAATAATGTAAATCTGTAACGTCAAACCGAATAAAACTACACACATTCAGTCTTACCTTTAAATCCTGAGTGTCAATTCAGCTTTGTTTTGACGATAAGAGAAGGACAGCGCGTTAAATATGTGTGTGTTTTCAATATCTCGGGATTCCGCCTCGGAGTTCACCGTCGACCGTTCGCCCGTCGCCGTCACTCTGATAACACTGGTACAGGCTTCATGCTGATAGACTCACAACGTCAATCCACAACCCGACAGCCTACGTCACCCGCCGGGCTGCCGCGGCCAGACGGCGTGATTTAGCGGAGGAAGTCTGTCTGTCTCGCAATCTGGGGGGCGTTCCTGCGTTCCTACGGGTCCCGCCTTTGGGGTGACCGCTGATTGGTGATGTTGTCTGAATGATGTCTTGTCTGTCCAATAGCGCGTCGGTTGTCGGTCGCCACTGCCAACTATAGCTATGGCAACCGTGAAGGCTGGAGGAGGAAGTCTGTCTAGAGATCAGGGTTTACGTGCGGTGAACTTACTGGAGTTGTTGAGAAGCGCGATAAAGGTGTGTGCTGATATTTACAGATCTCATAAAGCCTCAGCTTCATGCTTAAACACTGATTAACTACGCTAAATGTTTTGATGTACTTATAGGATATACAGAGCTACGGGCCATTTGTGACAATATTTTGTTCATTGTGAGTGTTAAACTTTAATATCCAATATTGAACAGTGTTTTCATATTAAATAAAGTGTTAAACTTTGTTATTCAGCTATTAATACAGTTGAAGTCAGAATTATTAGCCCCCTTTTAAAATATATTTTTAAATGATGTTTAACAGAGCAAGAAAATTTTCACAGTATGTCTGATGATATTTTTTCTTCTGGAGAAAGTCTTATTTGTTTTATTTCAGCGAGAATAAAAGCAGTTTTTAATTTTTTAAACACCATTTTAGGGACAAAATTATTAGCACATTTAAACAAAAATGTTTTCTTGATAACCTACAGAACAAACCATTGTTATACAATCACTTGCCTAATTACCGTAACTTGAAATATATCTAGTAAAATATTTACTGTCATCATGGCAAAGATATAAAAAATCTATTATTAGAAATAAGTTATTAAAACTATTATGCTTAGAAATATGTTGAAAAAATCTGCTCTCCGTTAAACAGAAATTGGGGAAAAAATAAACAAGCGGTCTAATAATTCAACTGTACATTTGATACATTTTATGGTTTTTATTTGTCTTTATTGAACTATTTCAGACAGTGGTAAACATGGTACTATAGTTTTAGTTTGGATCTCAGAATTCCCATATATTAATCTAGTTCAAGGTGGCTTTGAACTAATGTGGACTTTTAACCTACATTTTACTACGTGATAACTAGCCATATAATGAAAGTAAATATTTATTTAATAGATCTAATAAAGCCAATTCGGATATACTGAGGTAAGGGGTGTAGCTCAAACCCGTTTGTGACAATATATATATCGTCGGGTGTTTGGGTGGTTCGAAAGACACATATATGGCTCTATATGAGCTCATTTGTCCCATTTCTGACAGTATGGCATTAATAAATTGTGGAAATATCCAATAAAAGAAGGCTTTAAGACTAATTTGATTATTAATTATTATTAAAATGGACAAATTCTGACTGAGGAAATGAGCTGGCTAGTTTGTTACTTGCCTATAGGCTACTGTTTTTCATTTAAAACAAGTTTTAACAGATTCCAAATAGTTTTTTTAATGATGGATGATAATAAATTAGCATTTAAAAACAAAAAAAGTATTTGTCAAATTTCTTTGTTAAAAAAAATGTAATTTAAAATTATATTCTTATTGCTTTATTTATAAAACTTTAATAACGTAATGCACATTTGTAAATAAACACAGTATTTTGTAAACATAAAATAGCATGGCAACCACTGTGGAGATAAAGGAATTTATTTTTATTACGTTTGTGTCTTTATTTTTTATTAGATAAATGTTTAGGCTAACAACAGATTAATCAATCTTTTTCATTTGTATGAAACTACCAAGACACTCTTCTTTTTTTTTACGGTGTTGCATACTTTTTTAGAAAAAACATGCTGACAAGACTTTAATAACAGAATAAGATTAAATATAGTGCAGAGGTTCTTGTTCCAGACTGCTGTCTAATAAGAAGTCTAGACATGTCATAAGGTGTATGATGCTTGTAGGAGTTGTGAAATATATTGAAGATGCACTTAATTGTTCAGTTCTGGTATGCAAAGAAGGGTTGCAGAAAAGAGGAAGTATGTCTAGGTGCATCACTCAAAGGTCTGCAGAATGACTGACAAATGACGTTACACCCAAACTCCGCCTATTAATATCAGTTGTGTATACAGTATATGCTGGAGTCAGGAAATGTATGTTAGTTGCGAACCTCTTGAATGTAATCCTTGTATTGCATTGGGGTAATGAAACCCAGAGATCTGTCATCGAATTATTCATTTGTATCTAATAAATGACTAATATTTTTGTCATTGAAGAAAACCCTCTTCTGACCTTTTTTATTGAACATGCATGTAATTGGCTTGATATTCCAACAGCACTGAGACAAAAATGTAGGAATATTAATTTTGTATCAAAAAGTGTGGTGATAACCATCCAACAATGTTCAAAATGTCACTAAAGTGCAGCATTTGAACCTCATAATTTAATAGAAAATGTGGCAAATGACCACTTTTTGAGGAAAAAGGACCACCCATTTTAATAGGCTGGCTACAGACATGATATCCAATATTAAACTGTGTTCTAACATTAAAATAAAGTGTACAACATTGTTATTACATTTGAAAAATTCTATGGTTTTTATTTGTTACTGAACTATTACAGACAGTGAAAAAACATGGTACTAAAATTTTAGTATGGAAATCAGATTTCCCAAATATTAAAACAACTTTGAACTAATGTGGAATTTTGACCTAAATCTTACCATCTGAAAACTAGCCATATAATGAAAGTAAATATGTATTTAATAGATCTAATAAAGCCAATTGTGATATATTGAGCTAAGGGGTGCAGCTTAAACCCATTTGTGACAATATTATATTTATTGTGAGCATTATTATCCAATACTGAACTGTTTCATCACAAAATAATGTGTAAAACTTTGTTGTTCAGCTGTTAATACATTTTATGTCTATGTTCTTTGAACAACTACAGACAGTGAAAAACATGGTGCTATAATTTTAGTTTGGAAATCAAAATTCCTAAATATTAGTCTAGTTAAAGACAGCTTTGAACTAATCTGGAATTTTGACCTACATTTTACCATTCAAAATATCTATTCAATTAATCTATTAAAGCCTTAGCTTCATGGTTAAACACTAATTAACTATGCAAAATGTTGTGGCATATTTAAACTGGGTTAAATTGAGCTAAGGGATTCAGCTCAAACCTTTTTGTCACAATATTACATTTGTTGTAAGTATTACACCTTTATCCAATATTGAACCGTGTTTTCACATTAAATAAAGTGTAAAATGTTGTTACTCAGCTATTAATACATTTTATGTACAAATTATATGATTTTAACTTGTCTGTGTGTTTACTTTACAGTTACCGGACAAAAAATGAAACAATAATTTTAGTTTGGAAACCAGAATTCCCAAATATTAATCTACTTTAAAACAGCTTTGAACTAATGTGGACTTTTGATCTACATTTTATAGTAAACCATAGTGAGAATATATATTTATTCTCTAGTATTAATTATATCAATCATTATAATGCAACTGTAATTAACCCACAGTTAAGCCTACCTATTTGATTTAGACCCAATCTTTATTTCCCACAGTTTTTAATATAAATATGCAGGTATATTTCTAAAACAAGACAGCTATACGAATTAGAGTGAAAATACAGGCCCCATATTGTATTTCTTTAGTTTTAATGTGAAACCTGCAGAGACACATTTGCATTCTCTTTCTTCTTTGTGTCCTTTTCCATGTGCACATTAGCATGAGACAAATGGCTCTAATTTGACTTTCATTTGTGTGGAGCTTTGCATTTCTATAGTTTAGCTGCGAACATGCTGTAAGTTCACGCCGTCGGTCTGACCTCTGCCTGCATTGCTCAATTCAGAGGAAACACCCTTATATTTATAGATGTTTGTACAGTCATGAGTTATGAAGGAGCAATGTGACCATCATAAAATCCCGCTACTCATGGCTATCTTTGTGTATTTGTATAGTCAATAAAAAAGAAACCCATCCTAATTTGTAAATAGACAACTATAGATGGTTTCTTATAGATCTAAATTATCTTAACTTTTTTTAAATACCATTTTTCCTGTATTTTAATGACTTTTTGGGGTAATTTATTTGAAATAAGTATGTATATAATTTATTTAAAGCATTTTTGAGCCTGTCTTAGATAATATTTTTACATTGAATTATTTTAGAGTCATTAGATTTTATTGATTAAAAAAATTTGTAGCTTTTATAATAATTTTTAATCTTAATAAACTGACTGAATGATTAAATCTTGCTATTTATTTTTCCTTTTTATTTAATAAATTAGTTGTTATTGTTTAATAAAATCTCCTAACATTTCCAAAGACCCCAGCTTAAAAGTAAGCATCATAAATCATGATCGAAATCTTTGTTATTTTAAAAAACACCATTTAAGGGTCAGCATTACAAAACGTCTGCAACACTAGTTGGCCGCCGTGCATGTTTTCCAGGAAAGCTGTTGTGTTTTTCTTCAGTCTGAGACTAATTTAATGTCCTTTTTTGGGCCTTTTGGCTTTTACTTTTCATTACTTCCAGTCTCTCGGAGAAACCTTTTAAGAGTATTTTGGTGCGTTGAAATAAACAACAATTTCTTTGCTATTTTCAGAAAAATAAAGCAATAGGTCAAGTGGCAGATCTGCAGGCAAAGCAAGTGTAATTCAACTCATCCAGAAACAGACCCGTTTTTAATATCTTTTCCATTTTTAAAGCAATACAGTCACGATTGTTGAAGCAAATTATTAAATGTGTCCTAAAAAGAAGTTAATTAATATATCAAACACACCGTAATCATATAGTGGAGAAAATGTATTGCGCTTCAGCTGAATTAAAGGAATAGTTCACCCAAAATAAAAGTGTATTCACAATTTACTCACTATCAAACCTTTAGGTTAATTTTTTCCACAAACGAAGATATTTGGAAGAATGCTAGCCATTTACATCCATAGATAAACATCTATGGAAGTCGTTAACTAGCATTTTTTTTTTATCACTACTCAAAATATCTTCTTTTGTGTTCAACAGTAGAAAGAAACAGGCCCCAAACAGCGCATGACAAGTAAATGATGACTACATTTTCATGTGAAATGATCCTTTTATTTTTCAAGGGAGGTCCATAACAATCCCTTCATTTGAATAATTTATTTGCCCTCACCTCTCATCTACCTTTCATTACGCGGTCACTCTCCCCTTGCCAAGCAACAGGACTCTGGTTCATATTATTGGAGGCTTCAAAGCAGACAGAGCCAAGAATAAACACAGAGGACAAAACAAAGACAGAAAGATCCGTGTTGCTGAGAAACAGAGGAAACAGATCAGCAGGAGCGGTGCTTGCGTCAAATAAGAGCTGAATTACTGCACTGTGCTACGCAATTGTAATAACGCAATCTGTTTGGTCACATTTGGTCACAAAAAAAAAGAAACATTCTAGTAGCTTTTCATGCAGTACATTTAATAAACACTCATTATTTATTGTAAAGGATTATAGCATACAGTGGAGATCAAAATGTAAACAACCTACGTTTTCGAGGTCACTGCTTAGTTCTTTTGGAATATAGCCTTATAGCATTTTTAAAGCATATTTCTTGAGGTACATATTATAATTCATTGCAATTTTGGTAACACTTTACAATAAGGATGTATTAGTTAATAATAGTTCATGTACATTCACTGGCCACTTTATTAGGTACACCTGTAAATTTACAACGCAAATTTGTAATCAGCCAATTACATGGCAGCAACTTAATGCTGCAGTTCAAACCGAGCATCAGAATGGGTAAGAAAGGAGATTTAAGTGACTTTGAACATGGCATTGTTGTTGATGATGGACTGGCTGGTCTGAGTATTTCAGAAACTGTTGATCTACTTGGATTTTCATGCACAACCATCTCTAGATTTTACAGAGAATGGTCGTAAAAAGAGAAAATATCCAGTGAGCGGCAGTTCTGTGGGTGCAAATGCCTTGTTGATGCCAGAGGTCGATGCTCAGAGGTTGAAGGAGAATGGCCAGGCTGGTTCAAGTGATAGAAAGGCAACTCAAATATTTCCTTATCATGGATGTGCAGATGACAAATTTGCAGCAACTTTGTGATGCTATCATGTCAATATAGACTAAATTATCTAAGGAATGTTTCTAGTATCTTGCTGAATCTATGCCATGAAGGATTATGGCAGTACTAGATGTATCTAATAAAGTGGCCGGTGAGTGCATTTACTAACATGAACAAACAATCAACAATACATTTATTACCGTATTTGTTGGTGTTAGTTAACATTAGATACATTAGATACTGTTGTTTTATTGTTTGTTTGTTAACATATGATGTGTGTAGCAATGGATGTAAAGCAAAGCACGCCAAGCATGGAACGCTAGGTAAAACACGGTAAAAAGGCACACGTATACAGCTGCTTCACGGATGATGAGTTTTAGCTCCTGGTTTAAGGGAAAATAAGGTAATTTGGTTTATTTAGATTAATGTGTAGATTAATGTCTGATTGTTGATGTTGGATTAGTGTTTTAATTTTCTGGATTCATTTGTGTTTGTTTGTTTGTTTGTTTGTTTGTTTGTTTTCTTTCTAGTTCTTATGGTAATTCATGATGCAATGATGCGTAATAGTTTTATGGAAGGTGACCAATAAACGAATCGTGAACCACCAGTGAAAGACTTGATCATGTTTTAACCAGGACGCTACATGGTGCATTAACTAATGTTAACCAGCATGAATTTGGATATTAATAGCGCATTAGTAAATGTTGTACTATGATTAATAAATTCTGTTCACTATTAGTTCATAATAGTAAATACATTAACTAATACAAACTTATTGTAAAGTGTAACCGCAATTTCATGACAATTTGTACATTTTTGAGTCAGTAACTTCTTCATATTGATTTAAACATTTTCATTCATAAATTGTAGTACGATTTGCTTATCCTTTAATGAGAGGTAGGTTTAGGGATGGGGTTTAAGAGCATGCCTTCTTTTAAAATCGTTTTGTTTTTTCATATTAAAACTGAAATAGTATGAATTTGTAGGAATTACCCACTTTTCTGACAATACATAAAGTAGTTACGTTATGGCTTGACACAAAAACTTGACAGGTCTGAAAAAAATCAGCCCTGATTTTAACCTTATTGAAATTTTTGGGAAAATCCTTGGTGACCAAGTAACTACAGTTAGTGAGTTGTGGAAGAAACTGAGGCCCTTATTACACTAATACTTTTTAGTTTTAAAACACATACGTTTTGCAACGGTTACGCCATCTGTCCACACTACGGCAGAGTTTTCGAGCTTTTGAATACGCTGATGAAGCCGTTTTCATTCACAAACTGCTACTGCTCCCGGTCAGTGTGGATGGGGGAAAACGGAGACATCTGAAAACGTGGCGTGGCTGCAGACATTCGCCAGGCTGCAGACATCTGATTGGGGCTTTTTCTCAGTATTAAGTACACAAAGTTCAGTCTTGCATCCTTTCATTCAGTTCAGACTTCGCAAGTTTGAAAAGGAAAACAAACTCCTGAGGACACATCAGGTAAAAACAATGTACTGTATAATGTCATTCGCATCACCCTGGCTACATTTTTTCACTGTCTTAACATTAAAGTGAAAACATGATATAAGGAACTGTCGATTTTCATTTTGATATTACCAACATTAGCTGCATATTTATATAACCGTCATCTTCACTGTATGCATATTTATAACAAAACGGAGCCTATCCTTTGCTTCCTTTAATTTTCATTGAAAAATATGAAACATACCCTTTCTTTCGATGAATATCAGTTTTAATAATCAATAATTGCCATTATAAAAGTATAACGTACAATAAGTTTCTACAATACAGGAAATAAAGGCAAACCATCAGTCAAATGTGCAGAATCAGTGTACACAGATACATGAATTAATATATTAACTTATCTTTGCGCTCAGCCAAAACACATTACCTGAGAAAAAGTAATAGGTTAAAAAGACCATAAGATTGACAAGCTTAATTAAATGACATGTTTGACAATTATAGTGAGATGAAATCCATTTATCCTTGATAAACTGTCCGACCTGCGCTGCTCTTGCCTAGAGATTTGTGCTCAAAGCACCTGCTGAGACGTCCACATATGCTGCAGTGCATGCCAGTGTGTGTGGTCACGTGATGTGCGTTTTCAGCAGTGTAGTGTGTACGGAGATCTGTTCAGAAACACTAGGTGAAACACCAGTGTGGACGTGGATCTTTTTTATTCTAAAATGCTGTTTTAAAAGTAAAACGAGTGTAAACGGGGCCTGAAGGTCAGGATCACTGCAGAGCAGAGACTAGTGATGTCTGTGAGATACTTCTACTCTTCTTACTAATTATTGACAAATACATTTTATTTGTGATTTTTGATCAAGCTATAAAAATGTTGCTGTTACCAAATTTTGATTAGCTACATATAAAGTGCTTTGAGAAGCCTTATAGAAGTGCCTTAGCTATTTTGTTAAACACAATTTTACAACCATGATATATATACACCTAAAACAATTCAAACAATGAAAATTAAATTTCCTTTAATCTTGATCTCCACTTTACATTCAGTTTGTCAATACACTATGCTTCTATGACACCACCCAGACTCATGTGCTTTACATTTCACAGATATTCATAAATATTAATTTAGAACATAAGGTCACATCAGGAGGTCCAATGAGTTTAGCTGCACTTTTCAAACTTAAACACAAAGTAAATATAAATATGTTCTGCTGTGGGCAGTTTTCTAACTGGTCTAGCTTTGTTCTTGCACAGCTTAAGAAGTTTCTAAAACACAGTTTTAACCTGAAAGGGAAAAAAAGACAATCATGAGATCCTCATAGTTATATTATACACCATAACAATGATTTCATACAACATTACTGGAGCATTTTTTTGCAATGAAGAACTGTTAACATTTTTCTGTCTAAAAATTGTTTAATGTCTGACTTAAAATTTTATATTTGCAATTGGTGAGTGAAAAAGTCCTACATTCATTTTTTTAGCCTATATAGAGAATGGAAATCAATATCACAGCCACCATGCTGATACAGAGACAACAAATACACGGTTTTGGTAACTGTGAAACAGTTCAGTTTTGCACAAACAATTTTTTTCTTGCTTGTTCAAACTTATTTAACTTAAATAAAACTTATTTAAAAGTTTATTTTACACGTATTTAAAATAAACAGAAACAACAAAAATAGTACGATTTTTATAGGATAACTTAATTGTTTTATGTTAAATCCACTTAAATTTGTTAAGTTAACTTAATGGTCTCAGACTCAGACAAATCAGAAAATACCGCTTTTAAAATGCTGTCATTTTTTTTTAGATACAAGTACTAATAAAATGTGGAATTATTACTCATGTCACAATACATTTCTAATACCAGTAAATTTAGAAACCAAAAATTAAGACATTTTCCATTAGAATGGCTAGAAATTAGAGTAAAAAGCAAGCATTCACCATTCTAACTTGTTTTTGTATGGAGTAATGTAAGTATAATATAAAATATCTACATTCACCACTACTTATTCCAGTAACTCATAGGGTTGTGATATCAAATTCTCATTTTGGAGAACTTTCGAGTTTGTTCCTCATCATTATTATGGTCTCACCTGCTTTTGTCTTCTCTTGATTTGCAAGTCTTGTTGTTGCTTTGCCCTGACCTCTTCCAGAGTTAAGCATCCACCTGCAGAAGTGGCAAGTATGGTTAAAAGAAGTCTAAGAATTGTTGTTTTCAATGAGAAATATTGATGTACAGTACAGTATATTTACTCACTGAAAAACATGTCTGTCAAGAAAAATCATAATCCTGGTATTGTTGTTTTTGTTAACTATTATTAACTTGCATTTTATGAGTCCCCAAGGATCATTGTTTAATCTAAAAAAAAAAAAAAGCTTCTACTAAAACATCGCATACTTGGATGACCTAGGCTGAGTCAATGAAAAGCATATTTTTGGTGAACTTTCTCTTCAAGCGTTTGTCATGGTTTTATTCTTGCGTGCATAGCTCCCTCTAGTGGTTCTAGTGGTTTTATCAAAGCATTTATTTCGGGTCTTTTCAAACAGACTCATGAGCAAGCTTCTCAAATTTGTTTTCTGGTTAGTTTGGTTGAATGACTCACCCACAGTACTAGGAGATATGGAAATATAACCCATGGCCCGACTCAAGCGCAGATCCTCCAGAGCTGCCAGTTCTGCTTCTGCTTCTGGTAAACAGTGAATCAGCGAGTGTTTAAGTTTCACGACAGCTTTAACCTTTCATGATTTAATCAAACTACATTTATTTTGGTCATTTTCTCAGAATTTCAGTGTTGAAATCTCATGTAAAAAAATATGTTGATTTAAGGATTGATTCTATATTATTTATACAAAGCAAAAATAAAGCGAAATGATCTGACTTTCTGTTCTGATTAACTTTTTAATGTCCTTAATTTGTGGGGGAAAAACACAAACCTTAATAATTAGAGCCAGATTATATTAAAGATAAATGTTAATTATATTTAAATACTAATACCAACTAAATAGAAAATCTTAATTTCAAAACTAATAATTAGGGGACATTATGTTATTGAGAAATAAACTAAAAGACTTTAAAGGATAAGTTTATAAACAAACATTTTAGAGAAAATATGACATTTAAAGGGATAATTCACACAAAAAACTAACATTATTTCATTACCATATACTCACAGTCAAGTGGTTTTAAATCTTTATGAATTCCTTTCTGTTGGACAAGATATAAGAAATTTTGAAGAATGTTGGAAAAAAGCAGCCTTTGAAACCCATATTAGAAAAAAAATATTGAAGTCAAGGGTTGCTCCTTTCCAACATTCTTCAAAACATCTTCATTCATTTTTCATCTTCATTCTTCAGAAGTAACTCAGATGGGTTTGGAACAATTTGAGTAAAAATCTTAATATGGAATTTAAGCCTTGTGTACTGTTCAAATGTATCCTTTGGTTATGTTCAGGAAAAAAACATCCACTGATTTAAACTGCTGTAAAACTGCACCAGATAAATGTTTTTATTTTTATTTTGCATAAACCTGTTAATCAACCTCAGTCCTGATCAAAAACTACTAAATTGTATAGAAAAATACAGGATTTTAACTCTTTAATTTCCAAATACATAAATGATGTCATTGATTTGGTGAAAAAAAAACACAAAATGTCGTATTTTTTATATTAAAAGTAATTGTGGACTGGATTTATTTAACCTTTTATCACAGTCTTGGACATGTGAACAATTAGTCACAACATGCATTGTTAGATTTTCACATTTTTTCCCTAATTTACTGTTGGTGACAGTTTTTGCCCCATTGACTTCCATCTTTACCACATTTGATGGTCCATAAACACAGAGTCTTTGTTTTTGTTTACTCCAAGTAGTTCTGAGAGCTGAGCTGAGATGAAAATCTAAGCTTTATTTTTTGCACAGGCCTATCTAAAGGGTTAATGGTGCCAACTCATGGTCAATTTTACAAATTACAAATTTTACCTCTTCCCAACATGGAAAACCACTAACAATCAAAAATGCATGATTATAGGGTGTCATGGTTTTGTAATCAAAACAATTTGGTTATAATGGAAGTCAATGGGGCAAAAACAGCCACCAACAGTAAATTAGGGAGAGAAAAGAATCAATCACAAAAAACATGAAAGGCAGTGTTGTTTTACATGTCCAAATACTTTAATGAAAAGTAAAAATAATTCCAGTCCACAATTACTTTTTATGTTGAAAATATGTCATTTTGTGTTTTTTACACCAAACTAGTGAAATCCTGTACTTTTCTCAGCAATTTAGTAGTTTTGATCAGGACTGAGGTTGATTAACAGATTTATGAAAAACATTTAAACAAATATTCATCTGATGTTTTTTTTTACAGCAGTTTAATTTAGATTCATCCCAAATGGATAGTAAATTTGCCCAGAGTGTATTGTTGAGTTTTATTATTATTATTTTTCAGGGCAATTATTCAAAATAAGGTTGGTCACCAAAAATAATTCCGCTAAGCTGAAACAGAAAAAGTTATGGTTAAATTAAGACTCAAAATCCCCCCAGTGTGGATGAAAACATCCCCAACAGAGTACATAAGGGTTAAAGATTCTTCTTTTTCACGTCTTCATTTTTAAGAAAGAAAGAAAGAAAGAAAGAAAGAAAGAAAGAAAGAAAGAAAGAAAGAAAGAAAGAAAGAAAGAAAAGCTAAGTACCTACTTTCCTGAATATCTTGTCTTTTCCTTGGATTCGGTGCAAATACTGTAAACGCTTTCTGACTGTCACAAAAACAGAAAATGGTCAATATATCAAAAGCCGTTATTTGCATAAACAAAACAAGCTTTAAAGCATGTACTACGGCAATTACAAAGTTTAATGCTGCTGCTTGGATTAAGTCCTGATCCACCATATGTTTCTGAGGCAGTCTTACCTGTGGATTTCATAAAGCGCGTGAGAATATGTTTTTGGCATTGGCTGTTCCTTCGGTGCACATTTGGACGGTTTTGTCCTCGGTGAAGTCTCGGTCGGTTTTGTTTTCATCGCTTTATTGCTTCTCTCCGTTGTTTTGGGTTTATACTCCGTGTGATGGGTGCATCTTGGGCAGCTCGATGCCCTGTTTTTGCGGTGAGCGGCATCTCTGCCTCTGACTGCGGGTGTTGTTTCAACTGGAGTCGCTTTCTTGTTCGAATGCTTGGCATTCGTTGCAACGGATTTCGGGTTTAGAAGTCTCGTGTCCGGCATATTTACAATTATATATTATCATTGATCCATTAACCTGTCTTTAACCGAACAAATGTCCCTTTCTTGAACGCACCGGTTTCAACCAGCGAGATAAAATTCGGTATTTTCATTAAGAAGAGCCAGAATCAGATAAGAGAAAGTCTCAAAGTTGTGCGTGTTGGGTTTTGTGGACAATCCCGCAACCTCGTGTGATCCGATTAATGAGCTCAAGGCACACTGGCCAATGTGGTGACCTCATGGTAACCTAGTAACCAGACCCAGTAACCAATACCGCAACAACATGCTAGCTTACTTTGTCATGCTACTCCTAATGAATTACCGTTTTAGAATTAATATAAATTGCTGATTAAAAAGTCATCCTATTTTGTAGCGATCTGATGTTGGAGTTCATCCATTCATTTTCTTTTTGGCTTTGTCCCTTTATTAATCTGTGGTCGCCACAGCGGAATGAAATGGCAGTTTATCCAGCATGTTTTACGCAGCGCATGCCCTTCCAGCTGCAACCCATCACTGGGAAATTTTCTTGAAGTTTCGCAAGCCAAATTGACTTTTAGTGACAGTGTTGTCAGTTCCATTTAAAAGTAGGCTAATATAGGCTAAATCTTGGGCTAAACCACTTTAAAAAATATTTAAAAATCTAAAATATATATAATTGTGTTACTAGTTTTTAAGCAAAGCAAAGTGGAATTATGTTGTCATTTGTTGCATTTTTTAGGTTAAGGTAGGCTTTATTACTTTAAAAGTAAAGGTATAGTAAAAATAACTGCATAATAACCTTAAAATACAGTGCTCAGCATAAGTCACACAATATGCATTTACAGAGTATTGAAGCCAAATTTGGAGCTTATCTAACAAAATAACTTATGATAATGACCTAAAACCTAGTACACCCAAATTTATAGAAAAATATTAAATACAAATTTAAAAAGAGGAAAAATCAAGAAAAGCAAAAAATAATTTGAAAAATGTAGTTGAAATGTTGTAGGTTGTCTTTTTTTTGTGTAATATTTAGCTTGATTTAATTGTATCAATTTCCAATTTTTAAACATTTTTGGTGACTAAAGTATTATTTTAATAAATATATTTGTTAATTAAATCTGTTTTGTTTAAATGCACCAAAATACATTGCCTTTATTCACTGAGAAATGGATAAAAATATAAATTTTCAAAATAGGGTGTACTCAGTTCTGCTGAGAACGGTATGCTTTAAATAATTTTGATTTTACAATATGAAATGCTGGAAACTGCGATGACTATGTGATCTGAACAGGGATGAGGTAAGCAGTTAGGGCCCCGAATTAGGGGGCCCCGACCAATGCCAAGAATCCTACAATAATTGTATAGCTCTTTTATACATTTTCTACCATATGTTGTAAAATCTGTCTACCATTAGAAATTAATGTTACTTCTTTTCAAAACCAGGAGCCCCCCATGAATGTTCCTTCCCTAACAGCACATGTAAATATTAAAACTATAAAATATTAAATATTTTTTTAAATATTGAAATCTTTCTTAATAAATATACATTTGACCCCCCACCCCTCCCCCATAAAGGTTCATACCACTGATGCATTCAATTGCGCCTGTCAATGGTAGGAAAAATATCATTCAACAGTCTGAAAATGGCAGGTCTAGAGCACCGATGCATCTTAAGTATTCACAAAACATGTTTCTTGTACAATAGGCGTATAAAAGTCAGAATTATTAGCCCTCCTTGATTTCTTTTCTTTTTTAAATATTTCCCAAATGATGTTTAACAGAGCAAGGAAATTTTCACAGTATGTCTGGTAATATTTTTTCCTCTGGAGAAAGTATTATTTGTTTTATTTCGGTAAGAATAAAAGCAGTTTTACATTTTTTAAAAAACATTTTAAGGTAAAAATTATTAGCCCTGTTAATCTATATATTTTTTTATAGTCTACAAAACAAACCATCATTATAGAACGACTTTTCCCAAATGCCTTCAAATGTCACTTTAGACCGTATAGAAGTGTCTTGAAAAATATCTAGTCAAATATTATTTACTGTCATCATGGCAAAGATGAAATAAATCAGTTATTAGAAATAAGTTATTAAAACTATTATGTTTAGAAATGTGTTTTAAAAATCTGCTCTCCAATAAACAGAAATTGGGGAAAAAATAAACAGGGGGCTAATAATTCTGACCTCAACTGTATCTGCCTTTAGCCTAAAAAAGAAAAAAATAGACACATAATTTGTATAGTTTGACCTACAGAAACCTCTAAAATAGTCACTAAATATCCCTCAAAACACAGAAAATTTAAATCCATAAATTTGATTCACTGAAGCATGTCACCAAACTACCTAAAAAGTTGACCCCACCCCCAATCGTCAATGTAGGCTATAATTCGCACACTGCTTATCTCAGATAAATTCATAAATTGTTCTTTACTAGTGGAAAAGCGTTTTTCAGATTATAAAAATGTTTTTTCACATGAAAAAAAAAGATAGTTGCCTAAAAAACTTTTCTCACTTTGTGGAAGAGGCATCACTGTAAAACCCTGTTTTTATTGATCTGGTGCTAATATTTTTAAGATTGTGTGTGCATAAATGCAAGCATTTTAAAACTAATACAAAGTGCACAGATATTTCAGAAAAGCAGAAGCGCGCGGTCCTCCTACACTGTAAGCGGTGCTCTAACATTCGCCGCCCTGATGAATTTCTATCGGTCTCTACTTTTACCTTTGACGCATTAGGACATGACGGGATTGTAGCAGTCGCTGAAAACGGTCAGCGTGTGATGGGAGATCTACCCCGTTGACTTCGGACAGGTAGGATTACCCTCCACGGCCATTTATTAGTCACGAAAAGATGCATGTTTTGGCAAGCTCTGCGACCGGCTCGGTTGGAAGAGAGGAGCGCGCACGCTCGCGCACAGAGAGGAGCATCATCATTTTCCCTTTTGACTTTCATTTTGTGTATTTCGATTCGCGACAAGTTACGCTGATTTGTCGCCGTGCACATTTCGTGCACTCGATAAAATGCAGCCGCTTTTATATATCTATGACGCCGCGCCATCATTTAGGGAAGTGCAGGTCTTCAGGGACGCGCTGGGGGCTCTAGCTGTCACCGCACGAACACACGCCCATTTTCAATATATGACCAAAATAATGAACATTGGATGCAAATGCACCGACACTGTCGTGTTTAGCGGGCTCCCAGTACGAACTGTACGTTTGTTTTTAGTGCGAATTCGGCAGCCCCCTTATAGGCCGTCGTGATGCTACGACAAGCACGGGGATGTTTTGGGGAGTCACAGTGGGTGTTTATTCACAAATGACTGCGGCTCGCACATAAACATTGAAAACACGCGTGGCTTTCTGGCACCTGTGCGCGCCGCGCTCCTTGGTATGTGTCCATTAATGTCGTCCAGCTTTCACGGTTATCGCACCGAGAGTCTGGTAAACCTTTATGTTCAATAACTACACCAATGCTTCATTTACACCCGAGGTTTTTAATACTATGGCTCGTATGAGACAAAGGGCAGAGCGTTAGTCGTGGTTACGGTACAGGCATGGCGCAATATCGCGTTATTAATGTAACCCATGTGTCTTGTTTTTAGCAGAAATGCTCATATGCTTCGTTTTTGTTTAGCCGCGGCCTGGTGTGAGCTCCAGTGATAACACACTGTACAATTTGGGTTGCCCACGTTAAAGCAAAAACGTGCATGTGGTTGCATGAACTTAAAAACACAGTGATGATATTTCAAACACTACGAGACATGTTTTGGTGGTTTGTTTTATTTACTTGCTAACTGAATTATAAAATCGCGTGTTGTTGATGTATTGATCTACTAATGCAAAGCACATCACAGTCATCAACACAAGCACAACACACGATATATATATATATATATATATATATATATATATATATATATATACACACACACACACACACACACACACACACACACACACACACACACACATACATATATATAGGTTGCACATCTGTATAATAATGTAGCCTGTTAAACATTCATTTGAATTCAATGCAAAAAACATAAAAGAATAAATCAAAATGATATATTTTATTTGTGATTCTATGGTAATTTATGTGGTAGACAGTGTAATTTACTGTTTAAATGTTACTTTGTTAAGTGGAAAACACATGTGTAAGCTTATTTCTAGATGGTTTAATGTCATTTTCAGTCTGTTCAGTCTGTCTTTTACACAAATGTTTTACAATACCTGGGTCAAAGTCGAAACAGAGTTTTGTAGCTCTTCATAACATAACAGTGTTATAAATGTGATACCGGTTTACATCATTTCTGTGCATTTAATAAGAACAGATAAAGAATCATTTGATGACTCTTTAGGGATCCCCGCTATCCAAACCACTACTTTTTTTTATCAGCAATAAGATGTTAATCATTTAAAAATGTAAAATTGATCTTTTTTTATGTGTTGTCCGTTGTTTATATTTAAACTTTTTTCACAAAGTATTTTGAAACATCAAAGTTGCATTTATTTGAATTGAAAGCTTTGTCTTAGATTGTAGCACACATATTGGGCATGAGCTAGTATAAGTTTCTGACAGTATGATAACTTTGGATAAAAATATCACAGTTTCACGGTATTATGATCACTGCTCTAAAATATATTCTTTTTAAATGTGTTAGTAAAAAACAACAACTTTTCCCCCTTTGAATACAATATATTTAATTTTAGGAAACATAATATTTTGGAACAGTAAACATGTCGGGCTAAATAGTTTAAATAAATCCTTGACCTCTGCTGTCTTCATTAGTTTCAAATACACAGATTTCTTCACAATACATGAAAAAACACTTTAAAAACCTTTACATATACATTATGAATGGTATAACATAATATTTTTGCGGTTTTAATACCTTGATTTTTTTTAAACCGCGGTAAGCCTTGAAACCCATGACTATTATCCCATGCCTATTACATAGTTGTTTCAAGTGTAGGCTATTATAGGTATACTATGTTCATGTGTAGGTATGCTTTGTTCAGTTTAGCATTTGTTTTTGTAAACTTCAACCTTTTTATTACACATTTATGACAGCATTTGCAACTGTATGATAGCTGAATC